TTGTTTGATTTATGAGCAAAAAGACTATTTGTATTTATATGATTATATACAAACAATGTATAATGTTATATGTTGGATCTTTCACATTTGATCATGTGATTGAAATAAATAATTTATAATAAACAAAATCTCATCACAAACTCATGATATTGTTATATTCATCAATATATCAATATAAAAATTATTCATACGTACTTGTCATCAGCCATGTGTGAGTGTATGATTCAAAAAAGTACATAGTATATACTCATGCCCGTATTATAGTAACTTAAAAGTTTGTCACATAATTCAAAGCATGCTAGAATTGAATTCATGTTGATCTTGTTATTTTTTTTTATGTCATGATTGAATTTCTACTTTGAACAAAATTATTGAAAAATGTATTTTAAATGGAGTATATAAATTGTTGAAGTCAAATTATGACAATATAAATTTAAATAGATAATTAAAAATAAAATAAAAAAATCCTTAGAAGATATAAGGAGTGGCTAGTCATCCTTCAGATTATGCTAATTATACTTCACGTTACAAAACTTATATAAATTGCGAATTTTTTAGAGGTTTAAGTACGATTACATGAAGCCTTGGACTTAAAAAATCAGGAAGGCTTGAGCAGAATGTCGTCAAGACCTAAAAACATGTGTGATTCTATTTCAAGATAATAATGGGAACTAACGAAGCATGCGTCTAAGTGGAGACTGCTTATGATGCACAGATCGCTGGAACACTCCTGCTCTTTACTATTGGCAGGGCTTCTTCGCAAGTTTTTGTAGGGTGAGAGTTGATGAAGATATATTATTAGGATAATTAGCCGCTCCCGAGAAATATTCAGGTTGACTAAATTTTTTATCCTCATGAAACAATTAAATCTTTTCAAATATATTTGATAATAAAAAATGGAGTTTATTCACTTCGAAATTTAAATCTGTTGAAAAAATTCTAAATATTGTGTCTTTAGGTTTAATAATCTGGTTAAAGAATAAATGTAGAGATCACATATCAGAATGAAATTGCAAAGCATAGACTAAATACATCATAAAAAAATGTGTTCATATTCAATACATTAATGGTATTTACATCATTTTTTTTTCCTAAACCTCATGGGCCTCTGAAGAGCTAGTAGAAGGGTTACCATGGGTAGAAGGGCGTAGACTTTGAGAAGACCGTAACACCTTAAATCTATTTATTTTGGAAATCATTTTCGGTGATAAATGCTAAATTTTGTATGGGTTTTTTTTAATTCTATATTTAAAATAAATAAGGAAAGAATTTCCATATACATATAATTTTTTCAGCCTATATTATTAAAAATAAAAGTGAATGTAGAATATTTGGTAGTGATTTTTTTAATATGTGAATTTTAATTCCTATTTACTTATGTATTTAGTAATATTTTTTTTCTAATCTAACTTATAAAAAATATTGGCTTGTAATTTTTAACAGTTTTTGAATATTTTTTCTGCGTACTTATTGCTTTATATGTTTAGATTTATTTAATACTTCAAATGATGTGTAACTAATTTAGACTCTATAAACTTTAAAATCTTATTTTGTCTAGGATTATAATTCTATTAATTGCAATCAAGTAAAATCAAATTTTATCTATTTATAAAAAATAATTAAAATTCTTCAAATTATAATTAATTAATAATTTAGAAATTTATTATAGGTTAAAAAATTTCAAAGTAAATTATTGATTAATTATTTTTTTATCTTAGTGCCGTGATGATTCGATAATTATGAATTAATTTCATATTTTGTATATATCAGATGAACTTGAACAAAATATGAAAATTTAAGGTTTCTGCATTTTTTTGGAATATCCAATTCATTTTAAATTTAAAAATTGACTTAATCTACATTTTTCATTAAATTTTATTAATATTATGTTTAATTGAAAAATTTTGTTTAGATCAATTGAACTTTGAGTCAAATATGAATGTTTAAGGTTCTTGCAATTCTTTGGTATATGAAAAAACATATTATTTGTTTATAAAAGTCCATTTATATATATATGTTCAATATGATAATTTATAATAAAAATTTTAAGCCAATATTTTAGTCTTTGTAATTTTTTTTAGAAAAAAAAAATAATTTTCATTTCAAGTTTTTATATTTAAAAATAAATTTATAATTGAAAAATATCGATTTAACAGAAGTTGATTTTTTTTTCACATATAAATTTAAGATCAACAAATCTAGACCACTATCATGTTTTTCTTTATCTCTGTCCCTAATCTGCGAATCACAATCATATAAGCTCAAAACAAACCAATTTTGTTTTAGATTTTATGGTTTCAACTTAATCAATATATATATAATATACATTTAATAACCCTCAAAAGAACATAATTATAACTCTTTCAATATTTCATATCTTTCAATTTATTCGTACGATATAAGATTCGTTCAGATGAGAAGTTCATCTTTTCAAAACAATACATCATTAACACGAAAATAAATATTTGAAAATAAACCACGTCATCCTTTTATTTTATCTTTGGCACACACGCTATACATCTCATGAGAAGAAGAGTAAGAACAAAATAATAATGAATGCAAATTGAAATAATGAGATCCAAAGTTCATATATGCAAGCGAGTGATGCACTTATGTCAGTAATTCATATCAGGCTAGGCAAAAACTTGGACCTCACCATGTCTTATAAAGTTGTCGTAGCTCGGAGGATACAACCGATTCCAGTATCTGACTTTCCACCATTTCTTCCAAAGCCATGACGCGAGGGAAAGTTGTGTTACTTGATTTACTTTGATTTGCTGTCTTCTAAGGAACGTGGCCAACGGGTCCCCATGGGGTGAGCTGAGGAGCACTAGAGGCCTCGTTGGACTCTTTCTCGGACCCTTTTTCAACGAATTTGTAAAGCACAATTGTCTCGTCAGCGGCAGAGATTCGTCCAAAGGTTCTGCCATAGCCTGTCAATAATCAGTGTTGGATGAACAGGGAAGGAGACGGTGAGCTAATTCCGTCTGCTGTAGAATAAAAACAATCTCTCGGTTCAGACAAAGAGTAGAAAGTGGGGCCAGTGGAGAACGAAAAACAAAGAATTGCAAAGTCTGGAGGATTTCTAATCATTGGGTCAGTCGACGTTGGACAGATACCGATCTTGCATAGATCTCTATTCTCTGTCCTCTTGCTCAAATGTTATCAGCGGACACCACTGCCAGGAACAAACAAAACTCAACCTTTTCCCGAACCGTCCAGCTCGAGGACCAACGGAACTTGGGTCACTGTCTTCTATCCGAGGACAGGGCGATGTCTGACAACTTGTCTATGAACCGTGGCTGGTTCACACGTGACTGGAAAGCTGTGGTTCGACGCCACAAAGGTTGCTAGCGTATTCCCAATCTCTGAACGAATCCGAGGAGCAAGACAGCCTCAAACGTCGTGATGTCAAAGTTCCACAAGCAAGAGTTGGTGCTCATAAGCCAATCAAGTGTAAAAATGAGCACTGCCACTTTTGTCCAGTGGAGTGAAATTTCTTGAATTTTGCAACATCCGTGAGCTTGGTCTTACTCTATCTCTTCTCCGCAAAGCGTTCAAACAGTTCCAGGTAAGATAAAAACAGTCCGGCAGCCACATGACATCCAGAAGTGGGAACACACAGCTGACCCAAGAAACGGAACTTTACTAGAGACCAGTTTCAGTAGAGGGTCTTGGGTCGAAGTCAGTTTGGGGAGTGTATCTGCAGAATGCAGTCCTTTCAGGATGTGTATAATAAATTGGAGGGAGAGCTCTTGAACCTATTGGAAAGCATCAGATTATTAGCTCTAGAGGTTTTGCAAAAGTATGGTTTTCTTATATTACTTGATTTCCCAAAAGATGCAAGCCTCGGAAGCAGCACAAGGGTAGCAATGGAAAGAGTAAGGAAATCGAAGCTGTGGTCAACGCAGCGTAGTTCTTGCTCGAAACTCCTGAGCTGCTGCCGGCCTCTGCGTCATTTTCAGAGGAGGTGCTTGACACGGACTTCGACACTCGGCTGGTACCGAGGAAGGGTGAAGGGAGATGAGCATCCGAACGCTTCAGTTTCAGCGGAAACTGAAGCAGCCAATTTGGTTGGGCCGCAGAAAAGCTTCACATGACCAAGAAGCTGGAGCGAGCAGGAAAAACAATCCCCGAAGAATGTTGGAGCGCTACGTACGCTTCTTCACCTCCACAGCACGGACGAGTGCACAGCAAAAGACCTGCATGCCATGCCTGGATCCGATATGCTCGTCTGTCGCTCCAAGCGTACTCCAAGCGCTGCTGAACTGGCGCATCTCTCTCTCTCTCTCTGAGTCCATGGCTCCTGTACTTCACCGTAACCAGGATCGCAGCACACCGACCAAGAGAAAAACGGTCAAGACTCGAGCAGCAGAGTGGCCATCGAAGACGATGAAACAGTTTCCTAGTGCGGATCCGGCGAGGGTTTCAGACGGAGTCTTGGAGGGCAAGGTCGCTGCAGCAGAACGAGGACAAGGACGAGGGCGAGGACGAGGGGACGACGCGGACTGGGAACAGCAGCGCAGGGTCGCAGAGCGGAGCCCACGTACATTCTGTCCGGAGAATCAGAAATATGGGAGAGACGGAGTGGTGGGCCATGGCGCCTTTTTCTAAGTCGGCCACAGGATTCATGTCTCGCGGTGGGACCCTGGTCCACTATACTCATGCTCATGCTGCTGCTGCTGCTGCTGCAAGCCTGTAACTGCCAGCCAACGCAGACATCTTCTTCATCTGCGGCAGGAACTCCCCAATTGGGCCCGTGCCTCGAATCCCGTGCCGGGTCCCCCGCTTCCACGGCCCCAATGTTCTTGCCCACGGCAGAAGAAACTCGGCTCGTCACAGTGTCGCTCTCTTGAATCGGCAAACAGTCATCTTCCCGTTCCTTCGCTTCGGGCTTTGGGCTCGTCGTTGCTTCGGTGCTGTCGTCGTCGTCCTCCGCATGCAGGCCCTGCTCTCTCAGGGAGGACAGTTCCGTTGGGCACTGAGAGAGACAGAGAGAGAGAGAGAGGGAGGCGGGCTCCATGCGCTGCGGGTTTGAACGGAGCCGAGCTTGTCGTGTGACATGACGCGCTCTTGGCTTTGACGTGCAACGGATCGCGTGGCTCGAATGCTGCGCCATGATCGGATCGATCGGGGGCTCTGTTCAGCCTCGCGCGGTGTCCGGGCGAGCAATCGGCTTCGGCTTCGGCTTCTGTTCAAGCCCATATGTTCATCCGCCCCTTGCCCGTCCTGCGATGTGATTTTATGTGATGCAGTGTGGTAGTGGCGAATGGTTTGCAAATGCTCGAAAACTCGTGCTGCCGGAAGGAGTCGTTGAAATGCACTGGGGAGGTGGATTGGAGTTGGAGTGAGGAGAGGAGTCGCAGTTTATCATCAGAAAACTACAATGCCCGGTAGCATTCACGTTACAGGTCCGGCCTCTCTTTCTTTCCGTTGATTTCAGCATGTTTTCGAGACCTTTGTTCGTCGAAGATCAGAAGTTCAATTTGTTTTGTTGCTTCCCTTACAGCCGCGGCAATCGTCGCTGTGTGCGAAGTTTTGAATTTGGTGGACGGAACTCCGATGTCCTTTGTACATTCGAAGATATTCTTTCGCCGAAATCTCGTTAGTCATACACGCTGTCCTTAATCTGACCCCGAGGATTTAATTTCTTGAGACGGGACGGTGGTGAATAAGTATTGAAATTACGGTTCTGTGTGCCTCTGCTGCGGGTTGGGAATGACGATCCAGAAAACGTCAAATCAAGAAATATACTCTGAAGCTTTCGAATCCAGGACTAGATCCAAGAGTGAAGTTTTAAAATTTCTCTTGGGTTGTTGGCTTATTCAAATCCAGCCGCTCACGTGTGCTGCAAATCGAAGTCATTTGTCGATGATGTACTTCCTCTTTCGTCGGAAGGATAGAATTCAGATGGAACTTCAATGCTCCATTCACGTGCTTCTTCTGATAAGCTGAATTCCATATATGAGCTTTTCTTGCGTTCTCATGTGTAATAAATTATCACACACATAGACTCGAGTTGAAAATGCCATAAGTGAAACCCAGAACAGGCAGACGTTTTGCTTCAGAAAAGTCTTGTTCACCCCCTGTGAGTCAGCAGCCTTAAAGATGGCTGCATGACCTCAATGCCCACATGTTTCAAGGCATTAGAAATTTACGGTGGCAGGGCATGCATTTGCTTAGATCTACGCCGTGAAGAATCTACGCAGAAGAGCCTACTAAGAGGAAAGCTTTGAGGAAAGCTTTAGCTCCATATGATATTGCAAGTTTTTCAAGAGCATCTAGGCCTGGCTATGAGCCCAATGATTCGAAATCACTCCAGCGTGAGTTGGTCCGGTCCATTACGAACATGAGGCAATTCATGTCAGGAATTTTCAAATCGCGCTGTATCTTGGTAAGAAGAGTTTCTAGCTGCACCTAGCTTGGAAGCAAGCCGCAGCTACAAACTGATGAAAATTCACTTGTAACTAATAGTCGTCGTGCTTATTGCAGTTTTAGAGGCTGTGGATCTGCCTGCAAAACTCAAAGGTCAGCTCACCCACCCCTAGGATATGTTATATCTCCCTGTTTTTCTAGTGTTAGTCGAATCTCATGTTTTACCTGTCAGACTTGCAGAGTTTAAGAATCTTTTCAAGGTCAGGTGACGCTAGTAGCCTTGATTTGCTTCAATTACCATCTGATGTAGATACCTTGTCAAAATTTCTCTTCGTTTTCGCATCTCTTGTTGCTTCGCTTTGCATCTCCTGGGAAGCAGGAATCACCAAAAACATAGCTGACCTGTGATCCATTTGATTTGCAGAATCCCTCGAGTTAGTAGCTGTTAAAGGTACTCAATATCCTCCCCTTCTGATCAAGCAGTATCTCTATAAGAAATCGTTCAAATGCATCCCCTTGTGTGACAAAATTTTGCCAATCTACTGCTTTCAAGATCTTGAGCAATTCCACCCACAATTATCATTCGTGGTGTGTTAACACGGACCATATCCAAAATTTGGTGCTGATGCAGTTTCTTTGGGAAGTCAGGATTCTACAACCAGATACATAAAATTGGAGGGGGTTAAAACTGCACCTTGGGATTCAGACTTTGCATTGTAAGTTTGTCTTGCAAAGTAGCAAGAATATGTTCTTGGTTATCAGACAGTTCAATATCTTTGTTTGTGACGCGCATCTATTGAATTGATCCCGTTAAATCTATGCTCCCGTTATCAATGAGTTTATAACAGATTGCAAATTTTGTACAGTCCTGTGTTGAATCTCAAAGATAAACTTGCAGTGGCGATCTGTGATCCAGAGGGGGAAACACTGACTAAGTGTGGTAAGTTTACCTTAAGATGACAGAAATCTAGAACCTTTTGAGGACTTCATTTGCTTTACTTATGCAGCCTGTCCTTCTGTATAGATTGAAGCACTCTTTACACTACTTAGCTGTGAGATCAAATCATCTCGAAGAAATTTACAGCAGGATTGACAAGATAGCGTTGCATGATATTTATTGTCATTTTGCAGAGATAGAAGTCCCATCTATACTTCAACAAGGCTATCGGGAAGAGTTTGTTACTCTCAGTGAGGGAGGGCGCTTACACCTGAAACTAAGTTTTGTACTCACAGATGAAGAGAGGAAGAAAGTTAACCAAATGGTAAGGTCACGTCCCTTCATCCAGGTGCATCCATTTGTATTACCTTAGGCTGTTGTATTCAAGCAGATAGTATACTTCAGTGAATGCTATGAGAAACATTATCCATCGTTTGACATGGTTGTTACTTCAGAGAGCGGCTGCTCAAAGAAAGAAGGAAAAGGAGCAGAAAGATGAAATGATGGTACGAAGATCTAACAATTTGACCAAGTCCATTGAGGTACTTTTATATAAATAATCCTTTGGTGTGCGGTTGAGAAAGGAGCATCTTTCTTCTTCAAATCTCTCTTTCTCATATATTTTGGCGATCACCAGCAACAGACAAATTAGCCATGGGATATTGACTGTCTCTATGCTGTCACAGTGGTCGATGTAGAGTTCTAAATTTATAAGTGAGAATTAGTCTTGTCACTGGTCGGCTAACTGTATTTATAAGGAAAACTGGTGTTGTTTGTTTCCTTTCAGAGGGCTTATGACTTTAAGAGGAAGGAAGATTATTGTACAGATAACGGTCTACGAACAATTGCTGAAAGCGAGGTGGAACATGCGGGCAAAAGTCTCGACAACTGGGAAGTTTTTAGCAGGAAGAAGGATAAAGAGGTCTCTTCAGCTAGCCTTTTTGCCCTTCCTCAACCTCCTCAACCTCCCACACTGAAACCATCTCCATCTGTGGAGACGGAAAAGCCAGTTGAAGTCAGTGCAGATAGAGAAAGGTGTAGCAAGAATAAATATTCCTCCTCTTGCAATACAATGGACGGCGTGCTCCGTCACTCCAGTCTCAACCAGGATAACATTGTGGAAGTTGTCGTCAGGAACTCGTTTCCAGAACCTACTATTACTACATGTAGTCCTCCTGAAAATATCGAATCACAAGCTAATAGTGAAACTGAACTAGGGACGGGTCCTCCAAAGATCCCTATCTCTGAAATCACAAGGACTGCTCCTATTGTGCTTCTAGAGATTGATGAGCAGAAAGAGAATCGTCCGGCTCCCTTGACATCAGTAGAGAGTAACTGCAGGATGGGATCTCAAGATGACCATGTTTTCTGTCATGGACCAGAAGTGGAAGAATGCATGGAAATCAGACTGTTGGAGAACCGACAACAAGAAGAACTATTGAAGAAAGAGTTGTCAAGCAACCATGGATTCTCAAGACCTAGAGAAGAGAATCCTTTTTTTCCGAAGAGTCTTCTCATAAACGGGTCGGTTCAACAAGAATGCGATATCGCTGCTAATCAAGTGCATAACATTTCAAAAGAAGACAGGGCTACTATTCAGGTCTTCCCATCGAAGGAGAACGTAGCCACTCTCCAAGAATCAGCATCTTTGGTGCAAGGCGTTGTTGCAGCTGTCAGAATGTCCACTTTCAGCGAGTGGGAGTCTATCAGGAAGATGCCTAGAGTCAAAGAAGAGGACAGGACTTCTGCCAAATTGTCACCACAGGCCCAGGCAGTGAAGGACCTTCCTTTAGAAGTAAAGTCTGGTAGTAAGGAGAAGGTGAGAACTAACTCTTCATTTCCAGAGGCTAAAAGTCCAAGATTGGGAGCAAGTGAGATTGAAGAAATGGTTGAGACCGTACCTTCAAATACTGAAACCAAAAGTCCGAAGTTGGGAGAGCGCGGCATTGAAGCGAAGACCAACGACACTTTTTCATCTCCTAAGGTCGTTTCAAAGCTGGGAGTTCATGGAGCTGGAGAGAAGACTAGCAACATTGTTTCAGCTCCAGAGGTTGTCGAATCAAAGCTGGGAATAAGCCGAACGGAAGACAATGTCGGACCTCTTTCTTCCTACATCGATTTCGGCGAATTGGACGTTGAAGGTCGTGTGGTTGAAGAGAAGATCAGACTCCTGCCTTCTGCCCCGATCGATGGCAGTCCAAAGGTGGGACTGCATCATCTAGAAGTCAGACAGACGGGTAGCCCGAGGCTTTTAAGAACAGCCTTGAGCTCCTTCGAAACTTTTAGTCCAAGAATATCCAGAACATCTGTCACCTCACATGAATCGGATAGTCCCAGGCTTTCAAAAACCTTTGCCAAAGTGGAGAAAAATCCAGGATTGCTGTCAAGGCTCTTATCAGACGACTGCACAAGTATGGAACAGGAAAGTTCCGTTCTCACTTCGGCGAAATCTCTTCCCATGGAAGGCTGGGTGTGTGTGGAACGTCCCCCTATGAATTGGGAAGATCCACTTAAAGCTCCAATGACTTGGGAAGATGCACTTAAAGTTGCCCAAGAGAAACGAGAAGCGGCTATAGGTCCCACTCCACAGCCAGCTTCTCCTCTTCCACCACCATCTCAACTCAAGGTGCCTGCTTACAACTTGACAGGACCTCCTAGTCCTGTGACACCGATGGGAGCTGCAAGAGTGCCAACATCTTTCTGTCTTCCTTCAGCACAAGATGTTATATGTGCTCCTCTACCGCGCCCAGCTAAATCAAATCCAAGCAAGGCAAGCATCAATGCAGGATATGTCAAGGCTCACACTGAGAGTTTTGAAAGTGGCTCAAATCAGGTATGAAGTGTGGAGTTAGTCTTGCTTACCTTTTATGTGCATGACTAAGACCTTTGAGGTTAATATGTCAATAAAGTGTTCTTATGATGTTGTCGGATGTCTCATCTCCAATGCGCGACCTTATCGACCTTATATGCATTGAGCGGTGGCTAGGACAGGAAAGTTTCGGCAAGGTTTGCGTATGTGAGATCACATCCGCAAACATTCTTTCGCAGTTGCACCTAGTAGAAAAACAGAAAATATTCATACTATTTTTGGTCACCTTTCAGAACGAGCTGGAGAACAACAAAAGTGTGCTGACGTATGTGATTATGAGTAGATAGTACAGGGATCACCTTATGTCCAGATGTATACGGAAAGAGCCTACGTACAGTGATTTCATTTTTTTTTGTTGAGATTCGGCATTTACCCGCCATACGCTAGGACACTGATTTTTCCAGGTGAAATACGCCCTAAATGTGTACATTAAGAAGCCACTCGTGTTGAAGACATGATTTCTATTGCAAGATTGTCGTACCTCATGTGGGAGTGACAAATATGTCGCCTTTTTCTTTACTTGTGCCATCAATGCAGACCTCAGATCAACCTTCTGGCAACGTTGGAAACTTCTTGATGCAAACAGAAACATCATCGCCAACAGGAGTTCAGGTGGAGCTCAAAAAGAGGAGATCAGGGGAAGAAGAACTGGTTAAATGGGAGGAAAAAGTGAGAAACTGGGGGCAGTCTGCAGAGCTCAAAGATATCCAGGAGGAATCCAGACACAGGAACCAGGGTACGGAGAAACTGTCGTGGGACATGGACGATTTTGAGGATAGCATTAGAAAGGACTTTGAAGCCAGGTTACAGAGTCCAAGCAGCGATTGTGAGTCCTCCAGTAGCAGACTTGCAGTGCCTGCAGCAGAAGTAAGGTGGGATGTCGAAGATTCAACAAGAATCAAGTGGCTCGGGGAAGTCACGGAAGAATCAACCACGTATGAAGGCTGCCTCGATTTGTTTGAAGACTTAAATGTGGAGGACATGGAGGGGAGTTTGATGGAGGAGGTAAGAATCAATGAAAAAACGGTTGATACCGAAGTGAATGACAAGCTTTTGCCAGCTCTTGAGGAGAGATACAAAGTGGAGAATTTGATTAACAGAGCAAGCACCGAATTCAAGCAGGACGCAATCATAGTGTCAGAAGGAAAAGGCAATGCGGACAAGGCCGTCGAGGTTGTCGCATTTCATCTTGTAGTCGATAAAGAGAACTCTATCATATCTGGTAACGAAGTTTTGGACACTCCGAATGACTTAGATGCTCTCAAGGCTTGTGATAAAGCTCGAGAGTCATCAAAATCCAAATCCCTTCCAAGAGTACGCGCAAGCTCTAAGCTGGTGCCGTCAGCTCTTGCGATACAGCAGCTTTCGCTTCCTGGAGACTCACAATGGGCTTCAAAGGGTCGGAAGAAATCCAAATCTACACCAAGACCTCCCTTGTTGGTCTCCAGTATAACCTGTAGTGATGAAAGAGAGCAGTTCACTGCGTCCGAGGCATGGCTCGCAAAAGCAGTGATTGACCAGTGCACGGAAGTAAAAAAGGTCACCGTTTCAATCCTGTTAGCAGCTGCATTCCGGCCGCTTTAGTCCCTGCCAGATTTGAATCCTAACGAAACCGCATTCTGACTTTATTGTCAATGGAGATTAAGTTGAAAAGCGGTGCATAAGCCATTTTCGATTGTCGCAAATATTAAACAGCTTGTAAAACAGTAGGAAGCTGGTTGTCTTTAATCTTCGTCTGTCGAGGCGGCGTAATCTCAACAAGTAGTTTTTTTTCGCCCGATTGTTTGTCTGGCAGCTCGCTTTGGTGAGAGTCAAGATGTTAGACTGAAAGATTCTGAATAACGATTGTTACAGGCTGATCTCATAATTGAGAGCTTATGCAAGTCATTGGAGCCAGCAGCAGACTTTCTTTCGTCTCGCGAGGTTTCATCTCGTGAGCTGACTCCAGATTGCCCAGATCGAGAAGACTCTGAACCACCTACAACAGATGAGGAAAAGCAGAAAAATTCTGTTATTGGGGGAGCACTGAAACAGGTATCTCTCTCTACTTCCATCAGATACTATGGGTTTCATCTTCTTTCTTAAGGAACCAAGGATTTCATCTTGTAGAGATTCTTTACATCGTTGTACGTTTTACTTTGCAGTGGACAGATCCTACGTGCAACAACAGTGGATAGTTAGTATTTGATCCGAGTTGATAAAAAATGAAAAGCAATGATCTTGGCCTGCGTACTTGAGCTTTTAACATCCCGTTGTTTTGTAACAGGTCTTGGGTGGAGCTGTCCTCGCTGCTGGCGTGTTTGTCCTATGGCCAAAAAATGCTGGGAACACTGAACGGTGCGTAATCTTGAACTAAACTTTGAGGGGCTTTCGATTCGAAGCTCTGCATTTGCGTGAGCTAACGCCATATTTTCTGGTCAAACGAGTGCAGATACCACGTCGTGAAGACTGGTGAAACCTTGAGCAACATATTGCCAGAACAATCAATTGACCCTTCATCCAGATTTTGTAAACTTAACCCTCAAGTAAGTCGATCGAACAACATTCTTTTTCGCGAAACGTACAAGACATTTCTTTCCTTTAATTTATCAGACCTGCTCATTGTAGGGTTTCAAGTTTGTGATCTCAAGTTGCTGTTCAAAGATTTAAGCCGTAGGGCAAGCAAAAGACTACCTTTTCGGGTCTTATGTCGTATTTATTGACAACAACTCGAAGTCGACGAAAGTTTGTGTTTTACAGTCCCGACACTACATCTGAGATTCTCATGTAATGGGGTTTTGTGCTAATGATTTAGAACTCATGTTCATTGCAGGTGTGTGAACGGAAGACCGTGTACCCAGGACAGCGCCTGCGACTGGCCTGATCCAGGAGGTTTCCTGGCCCTGTCTTATTCAGCGTGAGAAATGATTTCTTCTTTTTTTGGCCTTGGGACGCGCTTGGTGGCGTAGAATGTTCAGTTTCTATGTCAACTTGATACAAACCCCAAATGAAGAGGGGACGTTCATGTTTTGGCGAGTTCTTTGATTAAGAAGTCAAACATAGCCTTGGATTTACATAAGTGATTCTCAAATCAGCCTGGACCTCAGAACCCTTTAATCTCAAGGGAGTGAGGTTATCCATATCGTTATCATATCAGATACATAGTACTGCTCTCAAACTAATTCATACCACACTTCCCCCAGGAGAAAGTGAATTCAGCTTCTACACCCTGCGGGCAGAGTGATCAGTTGAAGATACGGCTTACGTGATACAGAACAATTTGTTGTACATACTATAATATGAAAACAAATTTGCAGGATCATACTGGGTTGTTTGACTGTCATTTTGCTCTCGTAACATCAAATAATTTATGCTCCAGGGTTCTATATGTTATGTGATCACGATGCACCGTGATCACATACGTGACAAGAAAACGTCGAATTGTGCTCTGGAGTGAAATTTAATACTACAATTTTTTTCGTTAAAACGAAGTGTCAGCTCGTGTCCAATTGAAGGCAAGATCTCACAATTATTCCCAAGTAAGAAATTCAAATGGGTGTTCGTATTGAGAATCAGAAGACGGAAATGTCAACTTACCCGCAGATGTCGGTGCTGTCCTCACAGTCTGACGATCTCTTTTTGGTCAGGACAAAGAATGTTTGAGGATTGTGGCACCAAAGTCTTGAATGTGGAAACAATGTGTGGTCGTCTTTATGGTTTCGAAACCAGAAAGACGACCACACATAGTGAGTTTTCGATGTCGTTAATTAGCAGATTAGGGCGTGAACCGGATTGTGTAGATGAGTTCTATCAACTACACCGAAGTGTGATGTCATTTGTACGTTGAAGTCAGGTTTCGTTTCATGGATCTTTGATTATAAGTATCTTGCCAACGTTTACGATTAGTTTGAATTTGATGTTAGCGATGTATAGTGGACACATTGGACGATTTGCTTCTCAACTGATTTTACTCTTTCCTTTTATGGACTTTAGTCAGTAAAGGTTATTTTACTGGAGTGATCAGTACCTCACATCTTAGCAATTCTTTGATTTGACATAAAGAGAAACACTGGACTTGGTTTTTTTAACATATATTTGTATATTTACATTCAAAGAAAATGCTTACTTGGACAGGGTTACAGAGCCAAAGAGGGCGAAAGACTTGACAGTAGGACAAGACAAAAGAGCAATCCACCATGAGCGAGAGATGTCAGAAGCATAGTAATCGTTCACGTAGGAGCTCGAGTACCACTTCGTTTGTGATAGTTCTGACTGCAGCATGGAGAGCAGAACTGAGAGTAGACCCTATACCGGGCTAAAGGCAGAAAGTAAGATCTTAGGCACAACAACGACCATAACAGAAATCGGAAACCACAGAACAACAACAATGTGAGTTTTCGTAACAGAAAGCAAGTTGGAACACATGGATGTGAATTGTTGATCAAATTGAAAGGTACAATTGCGAAAAGCTGGTTTCAATAATCCACTTGTTACTGACACTGTAGAATATTCTGAATGTGGTACCGAAGTCCAGGAACATTTCAACGACACATTGTGGTGATCATCATTTGCAAAAAAACAAGAGAGGAGCGTTCAAAGGTTTCAAAAAGAACGTTTCAGTAATCCCAGGGGCCAGCAACAAAGAGACCGAGATAGAAGGTATGATAATTGATACTTGATAATGTAGAGATAAAACAATCATTTGGAACTCGATCATCTGAAGACCATTTGCATGACCTGCAAGGTTCGCTTTCACTGCAGTACAACAATCGAAATGTGATTGGAACATTAGAGAACATAATTTCAGCAGGGTACAGTGGTACAGGGAACAACGGGCCTCAAAAGCTTTTGAGAGAACAGGAGTTTGAAAAAAGTAATTCAGACTGGTTCAGCTTAACACGAGACATATGAGTTCATCTGAGCTTACGAACGTTTCTTAAATGAGAATATAATAACAACAGATGAGTATGAGAAGATGCGTCAGAGAAAAACTTGGGAGCGCCTAAACTTGCGATATCCAGAGGTCGCTTGTTGAGGTGCCAGTACATGAAATGAAAGCTATCTACCAGAACTGCTAAGTTTTCGTCAAATTCATGGCAAGAGTAAATTGCCGATGGGCTACCTAAATCGACGACACATATAACAGAGACAAATTTCGAAGAAAGATTATTGAAAGAAAAAAAATTTAACAGGTGGTCAGTATTCAGAATTGAATGAAAATTCTGAACTTGTTAAGAGCAGAGATGAGACCGGAGAGTCTAACTTGAAAACTTCTTAAGAAATGTGTAAAGAAGATGCCTTTGGTCCCACACTTCAACCTGAACCTCTGGAGAAGCCAGAACCAACTCTTAATACACAAGGGGATCAAAATGTTGCGAAGCTAGCAGATTCAATGTTGACAACACAAATGGGATAAAGGAGCATTCTGCAAAACACATCTTAAAACCAGAGAAAAATCCGAAACAATTAAAATACACAGTAGGAGCAGTGAAGGACTCTCGATAATATTGGGATAGTACAGACAAACCAGCAGACAATTCCTACATTTCATTGAAGATCCATCCAGAGCCAGCCAGATTGTGAGAAAAGACAACCGGAAAATTCGAGAAGCACCCGTTGTCTACCTCATAGGATGAAAACATGAAGACAACCAAGGTTTCGAAATGGAAGATAGCAGAGAAAGGAGCATGAGAAAGAATCGTATAAAATAGCTCGTTTCAAAACAGAAAACATAATTTGCTGGTAGCAGAATCACCTCTCCAGAAAGCTACATGAATGTGACCCAGAAATCGCCAAAGTCTGATTAACTGGGAACACAATCGCAAGGTCAGGAGTGGATCAACTTAATTTTCAAAGCAAGAATAAGAGATAAATATCAGCATGACCATAACAATAATCAAAGTACCAGGACAAGTGGAAGACGTACTACATAGTATTACCAAAACTGAAACATATCAATCTTACTCCAGAAACATGTCTTGAATGGAGGTACCGTACATGATACCTCTAGCTTCGCATAAATATACGCACGCACTTGCTTACGGGTACTCTTACCATTTTGTTGAGACCGTTGGCTGAAGATTCGTCGATGAAAAGCTGTTCAATGAACTTCCCCGAACCCTTAAAAACAAAACCAGAGGAAAAGTTACTCGAGCAACTCTTTCCAGTTAAAACCAGAAAAGTTTCAGTACTCGGCAAGGCTGCGGATATACACATGGCTAGAATTACCGACTTCTTTCAGGACGACAGTTCTCTTTCTAAATGCTATGAAGCTAAATTAGGCCGATGCAGTACAATAGCTAAAGTTGAACTTTACTCCATATCCGTATGTACACCGAGGAAAAAGAGAGGTGGTCATTTACTTCAGATAATAACCGTGACCTATCAATATTAACAGAATAGTCGCTGGGTGGATCTACTTGAATATGTCCTGAGGTTGCCGTTAAAAATCACCCTATAGGCTCATCGAAAGACAACTAATATCTCTCGTCTATCAACCAGCTATACTCCTTGGTATTTGCCTGTCATAACCTGAAGAATATAGAACCCGCCACCCAGATGTGCGGTGCAAGTGACAGAAGACAAGGACGAAGAAAAATTGGTAAAGATGGAGGAAGAAAAAAGAAAGGAGAGTGACTAGGTCCCTCAATTTTTGCCCACATGCAACGGATTTCGACGTGTCAGCCAGGAAATCCTTCACCAATTCACCCACCTTTTCATAACTAAGGCTCAAGGAAATATTGCAGATCAGAACGACAGCATTGGGCTTCCAATGTAGGCTGAGGATGCCCAGAGAGAGCGGACCTATTGTAGTGCTGAATAGCGTTTTCAGTCAAACCACACAAGTAATGAACTGAAAACACTTTTGGCTCTACGAGTTCAGCAAGTTTGTGTGTCATCTGTGAAATATACAACAAATGCAACCCACAAATGTAGGTAAGGTTTGTACGAAAGATCAGTTTCTTAGGCTAGCAAATTATTCTCGTTATGAAGGGCACCTCCTTGGAAGGAAGTTCCGATCGCTATTGCTGGTCTAAATTCAAATGGTCAATTTCAGGCCAAAAACGTATGTTCACAAGCAAGTCTGGGATGCAAGTACCACACAAGACACGAAATGTTCGGAAGGAAAAGCCATTTGATAAGGAAAATTCATTTAAAGATCAGAAGTAAGTTAAAATGCACTCAAGACTAATATCGAAGGGATACACAAATGAACATAATTCAGCGCAAGAAACTTTCCGGAAGGAGATCAATTTGCTTCGACAAAGTTTCACCCCGATCCATTTGATTCGATTCAATTCGCCTTAACCTGCACAAACTGAAAATTTCACTTGAGCTGGCCTCGAATGAATCACACGTTATGAGACGCCAATTATGAAGTCGTGAAAAGCTGCTATCTAACAGCAAAAGATAACTTGTGGCCATATAAGCCGACTTCTATCCTGATCCCAGCAATTGACACACAAAAAACACGTAATTTATATGGAAGCAGTCGAGTCTGATACAAGTCCAGCATTTTGTGCCTTGAACTAACAGGGTAAACGGAAATACTGAAGACAGCTGAGTGAAGAGCCTGACAGATATCTCCGACAGTGGAGAGGGAGGAAATCTGACGGATATAGAAACCGCTATTTCTCCAGATATCGACCACAGAACTTCTTGATTTGATACAAAACTAAAGCTGTGAGAAGAGTTTAAAAATTAAGGCAAACATTGAATTGAACTGGACCTGTTTCATCTCAATCTGCAATCCGAAAGTAGAAGACTCGAGTCGAATAGTTCGCCTTTATGACTATTGTGCAAAGAAATCCTTTCTGTTACCTTTACCTCACTCATCCAAACACGTACTCAAAGACATCCAATTCCTTTATGACCTTCCGATTCTAATACTTCAGTGATGTCAAGCAAGACTATCTGATTCTGTATCAGCTTCTTTGATTCTCCTTTCAAATTCGTCAATTCAAGGTGAAGCTGGCACTGCAACCATCCACTGATGTAGCGTTTATGAGAGGCAACATTGAACGTAACTTATCTACGAGTGCAAAATTGTGTCATCTATTGCTTTGGCAGTCACTCGAAATTCTTTTCAGAGCTGATCTGCATTACAGTATTTGTTTCTGTACGTGAAAGTGTCTATGCATCTGAGTAACCTAATCAGTCTCCCGCTCCTAGCTAGTCCTACTTTCTACTACCTATCCTGTGACCATTTCATACAGATTCATGTGGGTCTCTGATCAAACCTGGATAACCTCCACTTTTCACTCACCATCCGTAATCGACTCTCCTTCATCCTTTTCAGGATATTCTATCTCACTCTCATAAACGAGGGACTTGCTGTGATTAGCAGCACGGACTTGAGCCCACACCTTGTTTAGCTTTGGCCGGGCACTCTTCCAGTCTTCTAACCTTTGCTCTAAGCGACCAAGTATGACTGGAAGAGTTGTCGCAGGATTGGCCCGTGCATGAGAGAGTAAACTTGCAAAGACCGGACAGTATATTCTTTCAATACATCTCAAGTGGAGGGGGGACAGATGTTCCTCCAGGTCGAAAGTCGGATGTGATGGGTCTTTAAGAATTTCAATACACTCTGACAATTTACCAGCTGTGCTTATAGTTGTCTCAATTAGCATGTCTAGCTCGTATTGATCATCTTCGCAACGGAAAAGGATCTCCTCGTACCTATTGCTTTCCTGTGAAGTGAATGCGTTACCACCCGTAGTAAGTGTGATCCAAGTGTCATTCAACACTCCTCGGGTACTATAAGGACCCAAGCTATCATCATCAGCTTGCGACGTCGACTCTGAGGAGGTCGATGCCTTCTCTGACAAAGTATTATCATGCAGTCTATAGCTTGGTGTGCAAGTTTGCCATTGGTTGAGAATAGAGAAGGGGTCCCTTCTATGGCTTGGGAAACTACTGTGGAAAGCCTTTTGGAGGTGGGGATGTTCATCCAGTACATTGTTCACGAGGACCTGGAGCTGAGAGGTGGTGATAATTTGCAGCCGGCAGAGATTCATGCACTGCATAAATTCCTTGTACACGCTGCTACCTTCGAGCTCTTTGCTTACAGTCTCAAAGAAGGCAAGTTGTGCTGCTTCACTAGTTCCCGATTCTTTGCACTGCCTTCTTCGTTTCTGAGCATGCGGGACAGCTGTTTCTGGAACTGCAAGTATTGGTCCCTTTCGCCTCCTTAGGCGTCGAACCTGGCCCTGCCCTCCGACATTCAGTCCGTTGCTTTCACAACTAATAGAGGTGTCACATCTTCGTTTTTTGACATCTTTCACAACCTCAGCTGCAGCTCTTGTCGAATCTTTAACCGCATCAACTGCCTCCTTATCTGACACTCGACGGTCCGCTGCAGACTCCGTGCCCTGTTCCTGCGCTCCAGCCTTCCACTTGCTGTTCTCCCGAGGAGGGGGATGAACAGGAGCTTCCTCCTGCGCATGTTCTGGTTCCCGATGAGAACTCTCTGGTCCTTCATGAAAGCAGGAAGGAAGCGGAGCAACTTTCGACCTTTGAACAACAGATGCAACTAATGACACCCAGTTGCGAAGAGAACGAGTGGGAAGAAAATCTCGAAATTCAACCAGCAAATCTTCATGGCCCCGAAACAAGGATATGACATTTTCGTGGACTTCCTTCACTGACATGCCAAATTTAAAAGCTCTTAAAATCCCAAGAAAACTTCTATATACGTGTCCACCTTCATTTGTGAAACGAACTTTCACCTTGTTCACAAATCTTAACGCGACCTTCAGCTTCTCCACATCCACCTCGTCTTCAGCCGGTACCTCGATACGGTCGCTAGGTCGCAAAAAAATGTTGAAACCGAGAATCAAACTTGGATGATTCTTGAACAGGCCCTTGACTCTCTTGATTACTTCCCTCGTACTTATTAATCCTCTTTTAAAGCTTTGCATTGATTTGACAAATGCATCATATCTCTCCACTTCATCCTTCAAGGTTTCCTTCACCATCTTGAGAAACGCTACGCCGTTTTGCTTGTGAGTCTTAGGCCCGTCAGTCTCGGGACGACTCAACTGGGGCTCAGCCATCATTCCCTGTTCATGATCGGAGAAATTTCGCTTGACAAGCGTCATTGGAGCTTCTTCTACTCTCTTCCTCTTCATTCTTGGCCAGAAATCTATCGAGCTGGACCTTGGTGTCACTCCTAAGATCGATCAGATGTCTCTGGGCTTTCCTCGGCCTCTGTTTCTTCTAATTGCTATGTGTGCACCAAAATCCAAAGCTCGAGCAGACTTTTCCGAGCCTTCGATGTTTTTGAGCTCCAAAAACCGGGCTGGACACTGGTGACGCTCTAGGTTATGAGAATTTTCCTTTCGTCTTTCCTGGAAATTATCAAGGTACATTGCACGAAGATATTCGCTCCCCATCCCCCTTGGTCGCTTCCGCCTTCGCACCCGCAGTTTTTGGCTCCCGATCTCATTCAACTTCCTCGTCTTCGTCGTTGATCTATGAGCACCTCAACATTGGAGCTGGAGTATCTCAAAGCTACTTTCATATTGCCTACTTAAACATGCATCTTGCGTATATTTACAAAGACGGTTCGATCTGGTCCAGAGAAATAACTAGAAGTAAATATTTGATCTCCAGCCTGGAATCATTTAAGATCTTTCCGTTTGTATTCAGAGCTCCACCGCTGCACCACATAAGGTTTTTTCTGCGACAGGACAGAAACAGCTTCGCTTCGCTCCCACGACCCTCTTACACCCAAATCTCCGAATTGGGAAAAAAATCTCTTGTTCTGCGAGACACCAGACAGTCCATCAACACCCGGATGCTGAAGTTCTAATTCGTTGCTAGATATTCTACAACAAAGGGCACAATCTGAAACCAGTTTAGCAACATATGCTCGAGTTTGATCTATAACCACCACAAGTTCCCCACAAGCCTGTCCATACAACTGCACGCATCTAAACACACAATATGTCGTCCAAACTCCACCGTTGCTGCTTTTGAAACAAAGCAAGTAGAAAGTACGGTTGTTACATACGATGTACCAACCGTACTTAGGTGATCACCTACCGTATGTAGGTGATCACAACGGCTGGCCAATTGATATACACCAAAATCCAATCATGACTTTAAAGAATAATCAGCTAATAGACGTCAGAGCTTTCAGATCAAATACTCGGATTCAAACAAGATAGATTACGTAGACCCCCATTACTGTCAGTAATATGGTATGCATCATTACACAGATTTGGCGGTCCAACTCAGTAAGTTAGTTGCGGCTTCTAAATTAGAGTAATTTAGAAGTCAGGATTTCCGCAAACATGTGTAGCCGTGATCAAAGAAGCGCATAAGATTGTGACTTACCAACCAGCTGACAGACACCAAACGTTTGACATACCGGTTCGAGTTTGATCTCCACAGATAAGTGAACACCCAACTCCATATAGTTGTCGGCATAAAAATACACATTCTAAGGTTGGTCCAACTAAAAAGGTTGCTGAATATATAAAGAAGCAATTGGATCGTACGGTGGGTATACTTACAATCATGTTCATTGCTGATAATGTGCATACACATGTAAACATAACGATTTACCCAAAGACAGACCCCAGAAGTATAACTGTGTTGAACATGATCTATCCACCGAGTTTAAGAAAAAATTGATATGAAGACCAACCAACTGACAGACATTGAATGTTGAAACCCTTTGCTAGTGTTTTACCCATGTGAGGTAACTCTCAATTCTTTAAGAGATGGTTGGATACAAAAACCACAAGGGCTTCAACTGGGTGGGTAATCCCAGTATCGTAAATACTCTTTAATTACTTGTATTCTACATGACCGTTGCTGCTTCTTTAGATACACACACCTGGAAGTACGGCAAAAATTGATTGTAGCACTAGTCAATAGCAGTGTTTGAGGGTTATACAAAGATCAATCAGGTGGTAGTCACCAATGTTGAAGTGTTTCCTTTCGGTATTTGACTGCCACCAGGTGTAAACCATCATGATCAGAAACGAAGTGTAAAGAAGATTTGAACGAAGCAGATATCGTAACCCCATCTACAGTGGGAAATTCATATAAGTACTTTCAGCATGTGATCCAATCCTAGTCCAAAGACATTAGGTATTTCTAATGAGTGAGTTCGAAATAAAAGAGACGTCTAATGCAGTACGTCTCGTGACGAGAGACATTAGATAACTGAAGGATTCCAGAAAAGCACTCCATCGCGTGGTGCGATAGGAACTTTACTATCCCATGGACGTCGGGCTCGAAGTGAACCTGTTTGAAGGTAGAGTCAATAGAACACAACTGCATTTAAAAGATTCCAAGTGGTAACAAGTCAGTTCCAAAGGTATTGATGTGCCTTCTGCGACCGAAATTGCTGTCTATTCGTGATACAGAGACACATAATGCATCCCTGAAGGTGAACACTAATTTGATTTGAGTTGTAGACACGAGAAGGTCCAGGAATCCAAAACTTCGATATGAAATCAGGTTTCTACCGTGACCAGTCAAATTCCTCTTCAAAGCTTCTTCCAAGGGCTTCAAACTTTTGACAGTGGACCATAAAACTTATTCCTAGTGTCAAGTATGCAAGCACCGGATTACCGCTGGAGCAGCGATGAGGTGAAGAGGTTGACAAGCGCACCTCTTCCGTCTTACCACCAGTGTACCTAGGCCTCTGAGCTCACTAAAATATTCAGAGTTTAGAGAACTACTATGCTAATTACATGATAATGATGTCCTTGGCCAATCACATGATAGAGCAGAATTTGAATGGTGCAACAATGTCCAATTATTTTGTAGGAGCCAGATTAGCGTTATCCCGGGATTAAGCTTCTTGCATGCCTGAGGAATGCATCCTCGTACTTGCAACGAAAGACTAGCTGAACTAATTTCACATGCATACATCTCCTCTGTAGTTACTCAGAAATTAAGGCAATCAATCAATACAAGCGAGATTTAAATTCTACTTACAAGAGATGGCCACAATCACTCATGGAACCTGAGATTGTGTTACTCTGCTGCTCTGTGAGCAGAAAAGTACTCATTCGGCCGTATAGTCCTGGTCCGTGATATAATAGAGGTATCGTGACAGTGAATCATACAGTTAGGCAGGCATACTATTCTTCTAAACATAAATCTTCGGCCCTAATTTTGTTGAGATTGCATGTACGGTAAAGAGGCAGAACTTACCAATGACTGGAATTGAGACAAGTACACCTTGCGATGACAAAACTCCTTCGTGGACCCTTCGATCATCACCTTCACTTCATACCTACGACCCAGCTTAGGCTCAAGCATCGATGCCGCATTGTTCCACGACAAAACAAGGTCTCATCTGCGAGGTGATACGTCTTGAGCAAAGGCCGGCCAGTTTTTTGGCAAGGACACCCTAAAAACTCGGGAAGGTCGGGTGACAGCTAGTAAAATAGGTTTCGGCATATTGAGAGTTGATGTTCCGGTGTAAAAGTGACTCCTTGCTACGCCAATCCCAGGAAGCCGAGGGCTAAACACGACTTGTGTCACTGACACTGAAAAGGAAGACTTGTGATCTACATGGCGGCCTCCAACTCGGGAAGAGTTCAGGCTCAGCTATAGGGAACATTTGAAAATCTCAGCCTCCATGTCTGAGCTGCAGAAATTTCAGCTTCCGATCGGTGGTGAACTTTGTCACCATATAAACCTGCAACGCACGCTAGGAAAGGTCAGCTTTTCGGCAGACTCTAGGGATTTATGTCGAGCGGCTGTTACAGCTCTGTGGACTTTCTACGGTTCTTGATAGCTCTCCAACCAGGACATACGTCGCAGCAGATGGAAAGTAGGCTACAATATTTTCCAAACACGATTGCATATCCACCAAAAGAAGAAAGAGAAGCGGAGTCTTCAACTGTGATGCAAGGACGACTACGAACTATCTATTCGACGTAAAAGAAGAGTGCAAAATACTCAAATGGCATTCGGATGAGTTTGACAATTGACTTGCACTTGCTTCACTCGACAGAGCTTGAGACGTCAAAGAGATGCAAATGAAAGCCTACTAGACTGTAGAGCAAAAACTATGCCCGTCAAAAACCACTCCATACCATCCAAGAGGAACGAATTGGCTGTCACGTACGAGTTTCACATCAGACCCATCACACAAATGTGATTTCCAAGCATATCAAAACATGCGAACCACCGGTGTACCATCATCACACACCAAAACTCAATTCCTTGAACATTTCACATTCCTTTCATCCAACAAAACAAACCAGTTTTGCTACAATAAATCTGAAATCGGGTCACAAGTGGAATTCATGATCAAACTTACCTTTGCTTTCGTATATATCTCCTCGGCTGATCAAAGAAGCATTGGACCAGCTTAGTCTACGATCCCAGGCACCGAATGAAGGCACACCGGGGCACCTTGGGCAAGCAGAGTTGTAATTAATGCACCTCTGGGTCCACTAGCGCATCATGCTCAACATACACCAGAGCTCAGATCACAGATTCTACGCTCTGCTTGTACAAGCGCCGGCTGGCAGGCAGGCAGGCTGCTTGGCTTGCTTGCTACCAGCCTCCTCTCGCCTCTCCCTCACTTCCCACAGACTTCATGGACACAACAAAGAACTAATGAATCCTCAGCTCAGAAAGGACTCGCAAAAAAGCCAAACTGGCAATCCCCACCCCTCCCGGAACCAAAAATACCCGAAAAATCGGGGAAAAAATATACCAACCCAAATGCTGAGCAGAAAATTCGGAAAATTCTAAAATGCTCTGCTCTCCAGCAAAAATTGCAAATGCTCCTGAGCACTTCTACGGCCGAAAGGGGCCAAATTCTCGCCACTCGTGTGATTCAAATCCAGCACAAGGACCGACACACACAGAGGCTCTGGAACACGCGGCTGCGCCAATTCTACACTCCCGGACTCTGCTCTCCCACAGACTGTGCCTCTCTCCATCTCCTCAAGCTCACCTCTAGCACTACCACTCCTCTGTCCACTGTGCTGCTCCTCCCCCCTCCCCCCTCCCTCCACCTCTCTTCCCCCGGTCTCGACCACAGTACAGCCTGCAGTCAGGCTTGCCATACACTGTGGTAAATACGGAGCCTCCATGCGCATTATATCACTCCTGACGAAATAAAGCCCCTCCCCCTAAAGAGCAAATGTGAGGTGCCCTGAGGGACAGAGGCAGAGCCCTGCCCCTCCGAAGCAACGTGGTACCAGAGGAATGCATGCCGGCCTGGTGCTTGTCCTGGTCCTGGTCCGATCGTGGCGCGGTTCCGTAGAGACGGAACCTTTACGGCGTGTACCCCGTAGCGGCTGCGTCTGCGTCTACGTCGTGGTCCGTATGGCAGTCCGGATGGCGGCACTCTTGGAGCTGCCCACTTGCCCGACCCCGCTGCCCGGCATGTCTTTTGGCTGCGTCTCCTGCCGCACCCTTTCTGCGACCTCCGGCCAGCGGGGCCAGTCAGGCGGAGTGTTTGGTGTGGAGTCCCCGCGCCAGTGACCGTTGCCTCCACCACGCTGTGGTTCTCCACATTGTGGTACGTCCGCCGGACCTCGTACAGTCGGAAGAAGACTACCGGCTCTCGAGTGCAGGTTTCGATGGGCTCCATTTATACAGAGTTCCGTCTAACGCTCGAATTTCATGCAGGGGTCAGAACTATTTGCTCGAAGGATCTCTATCCTCTGGAGGGCCCCCATCCAATTGTGGAGGTTTCTCCCGTTTGTTCCCCTTTCTTGGAGCAGGGCCAAGGATTATATATCTTGCCCCCTCCTTCAGAAACCTGTCCCAGAAGTGTCTTGTCCGTTTGATCCTTGCTCGTTATTTTGGTCCCCGACATTTTGGTGGAGGGGTCGGGAGGAGGTCCCTATCTATCCTGCAATTTTGTGGAGGTGTGGATCAGTTATTAATGTGCTACGAGCTACGATGATGGCGGCATTCTTAAATTCTGAACCTAGTTCTGCATCTTATTTTGGCAAAATAAGGAGATACCGGGCACAGACTCTACTCTGCTTTAGCGCTACTGTATATGGTTTTGAGTATTTGCTACATAAGTTGTGGTCTTTTCTCCCTTACGTTTAGCTTCAAATATGTATAAATATGACAGCATGTTTGCATTGTGGATTATTTCTGTTTGATAATGAGAAAACTTTAGAATGGGAATTTATTTTTTCACACACAAAAGACGAGAATTAAGACCAATTCAGACTCAGGTCTGGAAATTTTATTTTTTTGTTTCAAGGATTCTAATGCTTCAAATGAAGATCAACTCTTATGCAATGAAGCTGTGAGGAAAGAACGGCATGGAGAACAATAAAGTTGGTGAACTCAACGGCAGAGATGATACATGAGTTCGGAGAAAAATGCTCTAAGACAACATATGCAAGCTCCACACTCGTTTCACCGAGCGTGATCCAAATCTTAGGAAGTGACAAATCTTCGTTGCATGTACTTCACAGAATGAGGATCCAGCTTATACCATAAATGACAAGAAGTGGAGAAAAACTGCAGATCACTCGGAAGGAAAGCCATTTACTGCGTGCAATATTACACTGACAAGCTGGTATTTACTCTCACACCTTTTTTCTTCTTTCTCTTTCGGATCAGTGATATATCTGCAGCCTTTTTGTCATATGAAAACCATGCATTTGCAAAAAAAAATGGCCGAAGTCGCTCATGGCAGAAGTATACAGAATCTGATTCTGCTAGTTCGATCAGATTGTATATTTTCTTTGACCTCATTCATTAAAAGTTGACTATTAGAACACGATGATAGTAAGAACTTTTCATAACGAGGCAAGTTCCGTTTTTCCAACATCTTGAAACTTGTAAGGTTAATCGAAAACTGAATTATGCCGTGTGAGCCTCGACACGTTTTGTACTCTACGAGCATTGAAATACAGTAAAGAATTAATTCTGTAATATACTTTGAGAGACGGAGTATGTCTTCATATATCCTCATATTTTCCAGTGTATGCTATCGATCATACCGTGGAGTGAGAGGAGATTTTATCGTACTTCACTGGATCTCAGTGGTTTCGTCAATTCGTGCAGTGATTTTATCTTGACAACGAGACATGCAGAAGTAAAATACCGTATTCCAGTTCGTATTTAGAGCGAAGAGACAGCAGGAGCTTAGGAGCTTATCTTCCCAGATAAAGAGCCGAGGCTTGCCGCCGTAAGTTGCTAAAGTAGCGTATTGTACAGAACAAGGTGCTATACATACGGTCCTCGGAACTGTGGTGGCTGTTACAGAAGTCATAAAATACAGTACAGTACTGCCGGAGTCGATGACGCGGTTCTGCAAAGATCCACCACAGTCCGACCGACGTCGACTGTGGTCTGCGCCGGAGCGGCGGACGAGCACGAGAGCTGAAAGCCGCGACTCCATATCCACTCGAGCTCGAGCTCGTCGTGAGAACTGCCGTCGGGATTGATGGCCCCGTTCGACTGTCGGGAATGTGGCATTGGCATGTCCGAGATTCGCCCTTTCTTCCAATCTCCCTGCTGAGAGTTTTTTCCTCCAAATTTCGGCCACATCGTCTCGAATTTTCTCTCTGTGAAACTCTCTGCAAGTGGGTGTAATTGGAATTGCCGGAGCAGCTTCGAAGCAAGAATCTGCACATCCGAATTCACCAGCGTGGGATATCTCGAGATTTCGGAGAGTACTGGCTGTTGTAGACCAGCCGCTGCCTTTCATCGCTCGAATTCGGCGACGAACGATCGTACTCGGAACGTCGTTGCCGGGTTGGTGTTGTGGTACGTGCTCTGCGGGCTGATTGTTATGATGTGGTAGAGGAGCCCGAGGTGTACGTGTTGCGAGTTTGTCTCGGAGCTCGAATTTGAGCATCACCTCAGCGCGGTCCCAATGGTGCTCTTCTGTGCCCCTATGCGGTGCCTGGGGTCATGGCCTCAGCTCGTTCACTGTCCACAAAAGGTTTGCACATGGAGGAGAGGTCCGTGGATACGAAGTCAACGAAGACTGGGAATCGTCGTTGCAGCGGGGACGGTCGGCGAGGCTGTCTGTGAAGTTCTTGATAGCAGGCAGGCGACGCAGGTTTCTTCGTTTGTGGATTCGCTTCTCGACTGGAACCAGGTGTGCACACTGCGCGTGGAATTCAAAATTCTAAGTCCATTCCGTCTTTTTCATATCATACTGCGGTACTGTTAGTGAATGCTGTTGATCGTCATTTGAGTATTGATGAAATTTGGGTCGTTAATGTCAAGTTTCTCTGTGGTCTGTTTCCAGCTAAGACCTCACTCGTTGATGAATACGCTGAAAGTCTTTCTAGATCAATGTTTTGGATCCTGGGACTCAAGTATAAGATGGTGACCACGTATGGATTCCATAAGAATTCTTATGCCATTTCGTTGCTTTCACTGCAATAGCCTCAGCCAGCTGTGTGAAAATTTTCATGCAAGCAAAATCCGCCAAAATAGTCCCAAGTGTACGGAGATATGTGGAGCATCTAACCTCAGCTAGTGCTAAATTCTGAAGATAAAATTTAAGCTCCACACTTCTTCGCTGATAGACAATGGAGCTCATGAATGAGCCGCGATTCATCTTTAGAGTTCTTTGCAGCTCCATTCTGCTAGCTACTGAATCTGTGCTTGAGAAGTACATGAGCAGAAACGCAGTCATTAACCAGAATTCTGTACTGAAGTTGGACGTTACTTACTGGGCTTATTATTTTCAAATAAGCTAGGGCAGAACGTTAAGGACGGAATAGGAGAGCAGCTCTAAAAGAGTAATCAAAGTCGTAGTATTAGCCTGTGTGGGAAGAGTCTCACTTGAGAAATCAACACATGCTATTTTTTTTCTATGAGAATTCCAGGAAACGGTTTGCATACACTCTTCTCCTGAATTTTAGATAATATGCCGGAGTGTGGAATTTGTCCATAGATTCAACCATAGTCACCATTATTCTCAATCGTACCCTTCGCTTCTCCTTTCATGCTACGAATTTGCTACTTCGTACACAAATATTTTTCTTGCTGATCTCAACCTGCCGATGACTAACCTGGTTATGGACCATTATGTTCACGTTTCCCTACATAAGCATGCTTAGCTTTTGGACCTTTTATGTCGAAAATTTGATCATTCAAACTTTCGATATAAAAGTTCGAAAAATTAGTATTTCTCTCACTCGTTTCTTTCTTTCACCGTTTTTCTACTCTTTGTTTCATTCGCATGTCTGCATTTATTCGTTTCTGTTCAGTTGCAAAGGTTGTTTGACTCTTTTTTTCTTTACTTTCGTTTACATCCCATAGCACTTACTTGGCACTCGTGAGACGTAAGAAAAACCAGGAATCCCCTCTAAAAGTTCGGAGAGAAATCTTTGCTTTGACTTAGATCTGCTCGCAAACCACCTTGGATTAAAAGGAAGAATGTCAACACCGTATATAGACTAATATCTTATCTACACCACGCAGATGTAGATATTCTCTGTTGCCAACTTTTCGACACCCAAACGAAGGCCATGAACATAATTTTTTTACTAAGTTGATGCTTCCTACATTTAATCTTACATCTCTGTTTGACATGGATTTTAAAATTCGACTGCAGCGTAGAACAACCTCATTACCATTCGAGAACATAAAGTAGTTGTAGAAAATCCTACGACAACTCTTTTAGTATTCTAGCTACTCTTAAATTACTGGAAGGCTATGGTTTTGTGAAACCTGCTTTTACCACAGTAGAAACCATACTCCTTAATCCTCTGATGTATGCAGAGGTTTTCTAAACACCTATGGATACACGAACACTTTTCCGCATCGAATTTTATTTCGTTGCCAGACATAAATAAATGCTTTAACAGTTTTGTGTTTGTTTGCAAACGATTTATAACAATCCATTTTATTAAACGGACAACTCTTACAGTTTTCATATTATATACTTCAGACATTGCTTTCCTTCATAAATATTCACATCCTAAGTACTTATTATTTCTGCACTCACTTTTAAATGTTATCTCTTTCAGAACTACGATTATAAACTTTGCATCTTCTACGTTGAGATTCCTCATGAAAAGTCAACTAGCTAGCAGCTTATGCATCTTTCCGCCCACTTTGTAAATTGAGCTTTAGAGTGGCTTTTTCCTTCTATTTTTTGGTGGCATATATGATTATCTCAATGGCTGATTGCAGCGCATGAACCTGACAGCAGTCACCGAGCGCGAAGAAGTCATGGAACGGCATATTATGGATTCGCTAGCATTGCTTCCTGTGTTGGAAACAGCTTATGGTGAACACACCTCCAAGAGATCTGTCGAACAGCTGGAAGTCATAGATGTGGGAACTGGCGCTGGGCTTCCTGGAATTGTTTTTGCCATCGCACGACCAGGTGGTTTTACTGATTCACTTTAAGAAGCATGTTGAATCCTAGCAGTGTTCGTCCAACTAGTTGTATTCGTAGTACGTGAATCAATATGAACGTACCTGTTATCTTTGGTTGTATGTTTAAGGTCAAAAGCCTGCATGTGTCAGTCTTGAGGTTAATATCAACAGGCCCTAGAATTGGTTGTACGTCCTGTTCTAGACCTAGACCTTTGGATGATCGTAAGGATGTTTCCGGTAAGATCATATAGAGGTAACCATTTGACAATTGGTTGTATAAACTCCTAGCATTCAGATCTGGCTCAGTGAGAATCTTTGTTTCCGCACAAGTTTTGCCAGCTTGCCACCTAGCTTGAGGTAGAGATGTTGTCGGTTTACTCGTATTTTTTGTAGAACACGGGAAAGAAATCTGGCATGTTTTCTTATCAAACCTAGACGAGATATTAATGTTCTCTCAGATATACTCATGACATCAATTTTGCCATCGCGTACGTCCGAACGAATTGTCGTCTAGAAAACCACGTTGCCAATTTTTGTCAAGCTGTGTCCTAAATAATTTAGCTCTGAAATGTGAGACCTTACGATCAACTTTTCTTTCTATGAAGTTCATGACTCATCCGATGATTATATCCTATCCTTCTGTCTTACGAAAGAGGAGGTAAGTCAAATTATGATTCAGTCTAACGTTCAATAGATATATACAAAGAGCGGATATCACAATCCGCTGTGTCTAAGCCATCGTTTGAATCTTTTGAAATGAGGTATCATATATTTTTCGGTAAGAGCGTTTTACGAAACATCTTCTGACTTTCAAATGCCTAAGTCATTTCAATTGATGCCGAAAACAATCAAAGATATGATTAGATACCATCATGATAACATTTGAGTGTCCTTTCCTTGTGTGGTATCGGTTGTATCAACTACTAATCTTGTTCCTGTAGTAAGGATGTCAGGTTGATTATATAACCAGAAGTAGATTTTGCTTGACAGAATGTTTTGTCCTATGAGTTAACCCTGGGAAATTGGGCGGTGTGCAGCCTGGAAGATCACCTTGTTAGAGTCTCTACAAAAGCGATGTAATTTCCTGGACTACGCAGTGGAGAGGTCAGGTTTATCGAACGTCAAAGTCGTCCGTGCACGAGCTGAGGTAGGGAAGCTAAGAGGAGCTAAGTGTGCGGGGAATTTCATCCATTTCCTTACTATGTGAATTCGGTGTGCACTTTATTTGTCACTACCTGCCTTTCAACATCAGAACCAGCAGTCATCTGAGTTCCCTGAAAATCATGTGGTTAACCTTCCACGCATATTTCTCATTAAAATACATCTCCACTCCGAATTATTCTCTCGGTATCATCACGCCAATTCTGATACACTTATTGTTGTTGCTGTAGTACCTTCATCTCCAGGTCTTGGTGATGATGCACCTATATTATCACCAACCCCTGCGAATGGTAATACTACAGTTACATCAACAGTTGAAGTGACTATAGCAGGTTTTGCATTGCCAGTTCTTCTATTCATATTGTTCCTTCTCATCAAACAATACATCTTCGCTTTCAATAGTTCTCTTGGTTTGTGGATGGAACAGAAACCCATCCTTTAAATACTTCATCATAACCAATGAAAATGAAACTTGGAGCTTTTCTTCCTAGTTTCTTCTTCTGACACTTTGGTATGTGAGCATAAGCTGGACATCCAAACACTCTGAACGTAATGAGGTAAGGTTTCTTACTTCTCCTTGCTTCTTCTGTTGTGATGCAGTTAAAAATCAACTAGCAATTCTTATTCTAATATATTACCAGCCTTAAAAGTTGCTCACCAAAGTGCATATGAGAATAGCTTGAGGAATCACACTCATATATCTATACTTTAGGATCCTGTGAAATCACTCTGCAACTCCATAATGCAATCATGTTGTCAACATGTTCAAGCGTCAAGGTAATCATCTCTTTCCATTTCAGTCAGCATCAGCAAAGAAACCTCTCTCACTTACAGCTTTCAAGTTGGCCCAAATGTCCCAAGCATGTGGGATATATACTCCTCTGTCTTCATAGACCGAGGTCTTATCTTATCCAGAGTCTTATCAAAGAGCTTCTTGGTAATCATGTGCTGTAATGTGAACATGTCATTTTCAAACGACTCTGCAATCTTTTCAGGTTTCTGAAAAAACTTTCAGTAGCTATAGAGCCTCAAACTTTCCTCAACTTGAAAGTGCCTACTCTCTATAATTTTGAGTCTCAAGCTTCACTATCCTATCCAGCTCACCAGCCCAGTGTGGACCCATAACGTTTTGATATTCTGAACTCTGTTGTAGCAGTTGTAGGTTGTATGTATCACTACTTAGCTCATGACTCCCTTGGTGTAGGCAGAGCTTGTTACTACTCCTTGTACCCTCAGTTAGACAATACTTATAATAAAAACTCTAGATAGCATTCCTCACTCTCAATTGAGACGAACTCAAAATACAAAATTCAACTAGAGTGCTATCTCCACCCCAACTTATCAGCAATCTAACACCTGATCCAATAGCAATCCAACAGCAACTTCAACCAGCAATCCAATAGCTTTTACCACTGTGTTCTTGATTTATTCTCCACCTTAACTTCCCACCATTGTTGAGGAAGAAGCACATCGTCAGTAAAGTTTTTGAAATCATTCTGGTTTTGATGTGAACACAATCCGTTCAGTATTGACCCCTCTCAGGATATCACTCTTGGAAGTTTCCAACGACGACTCCTGTAGACGAGGGTTATGGCGAGGAACAAACAGGACAGGATTCGTTCAATCAGCTAGTTGGGACTACAACCATACTCATACATAATTTTAACAAAGAGAATTGAACCAGTATTGATAGAATCACTCCATATTTATTTTGTGAGATTAGCAAGACGTACAAATTTCCTAATCATATTTGTGGTGATCAAAATATTGTGACTATTTCTTAGCGATTTGAGGATGCAGAACGTGATATCACAGGGAATAAATCTACGGAGGAGGAGGCGAAGCTTTAAACAAGCTCACAAAGGGACTGTTAATAACAGTATATCAAGCTCGAAGAGCCTGTTTTAATCTGTATCTAGGAGCTTGGTTTGCTGTTATTGATAGTTCCTTTGTGTTAAAGTTGAAGAGATGAGATTCTGACGTCAACCTTTACAATTCTACTTTTCAGATTGCTTGTCGTCTGCTTGGAATATGATATAAATCAATTCAGGAATCATCTTTTGTTGTCTGAACTTGAAGCGAAATTAGAGATTGGAAATCTATGATAGTTCAGTACTTTCTTGGAGTATCCATGTGTAGTAACTGGAGGATTGGAGTATGCCCACACTTTTATGATCTGATGGGAACTGAGCAGAGTTCAAACTATAGATCATAAACCTGTGTCAACCCTCACGAACAGACCCTCAATATGATACTATTAGTTGAACCATCTTTCTGATAGTAGTCTACTTGTTAGGTTAGATATGAACGAGGCTAGTGTTTAGCTTTCCTTTCATGCATGGCCTGAATCAGCATAGCTCAATGGCAAGCACCAAGAGAATCCCCCTGAATCTGAAAGCTACACGGCATTGGTTGTTCCAAGTTTCCATGTGCATAGGCACATGGAAACTTTTCGTAGACGGGTTTAGCGATTCAGGGTTGGCAGGAATACTGCGAGCCTATTTAAGGGCTCTTCTTCTTCTTCAACAAAGGTGCTGTTGTTGCTAGGAATAAGAAGTACAAGAGCTTTCTTTTCAACAGGAGTAGAAGTAATGTTTGAAGGTATTTTTTAGGGAACGTTTCTTTCTGAGCTTGGTGATGAATGTCACGTCCTGACCTTTGATTTGACAGTCTATCAAGGTTGTGTGCATATCATCTTTGCAATCTGAATTGCAAAGAATGGAAATTTCAGTCTTAGTTCATTTGAGAGAAATTATGTTAAATTTTAATAATAAATATGCTTCAATCTTTTGCATGCTAGGCCACCGAGGCCGATCATGTACTATCCAATCTGCCTCAATATATCAGGCTCCTGAGATTTTCAAGTCTTAGGAGACTAAATCAACAGATTGGATGAAGCCCTTTTTGTTGAACTTTTGTTCTGTTCCCATAATCCGAGTCTTATTTCTGTTTGTGGCAGGCGTAATCTCACATGAACGAGGCTGCTTAACATGTTTCCAGTCTGCTGCTTTTTAAACTAGATTTCGTTCTCGATGTTTACACGAGCTGTTTATTTACAGGATGGTGGACAGGACAAGACTCATCGAGAAGCCTACGACGTTGCTGTAGCAAGGGCTGTGGCAGAAATGCGAGTCCTCTGTAAGTTTACATACCCAGAAATCTGAGTAGGCCTACTCTTCACAGCGTCGTCTCTTTCTCGTTCTCACTTTAGATATCTTAAAAAAAAAGGAAGGTTATTGAGAGGAGGTAAAGCTGCTAGGGCTGCTAGCAGTTTTCTTTTTTGTCACCAAACAGCATGCACATAAGACCTGACTTTGACATCAAGCTTCACCTCCTGAACACTAGTTATGAGCATTTTGTAGATTGACAAGAACTAAGCAATCCCCTCGAAGGCCACCTAGTCTTTGTAATCCTTATTTCACCCGAAAGAAATTTGGCTTGTTCATGCCTCGGGCTGGCAAGGCCATTACAAACGACTCAGACAGAATAGTGAAGTGTACATATTTCTTTGATTGAGGTGAGTTGCCTTTCTGCCGTTGTTTGAGCCTGGTGACAGCTCCTTACAGGCCACTATCGATAGGTTTTGTCTTTTAAAAGCCAATACAGCCCTTCAATTTCAATTTAATTTCAACTGCTTGAATAACATTTCTACTGCTTCACAACCACGTAATTTGTTTCAGACTGAAATTTCCCACTTAAGTGAAGTCCAACTTACAAATTTTGTGCTCTTCTCTGGTTTTAAAACTTTTTACGGTTTTTGCTGTGGGTTTACATTGCTATCGAATAAAAAATACGGTCGCCAACAGCGTGAAGGTGTAGGGTTCACATATGCACAAACTTGAGTAAACAAATTTTTAGAAAGAAGAGCAATGCAAGAAGGCTAGACACAGGAATTGAGTTCTGACGAAGGCTTCATTATTAGAGTTGTATCAAGACAGGTCCTGGATCAGGGTTTAAACCCCCAATCCGAGTTGACAAGAGATGTGTCATTACAAAGGGACACAACCTCTACAGTGGGTCACACCCACTGAACATCTCAGTCCTAACTATAAGGACTCAAACTGCACTAGTCCGCACAGACAGGAGGTAGGGAGTATAATTGTATTCTAACACTCCCACTTACTACCTACTTTTCTCTTCCTCATTTCCAACTAACAAACCCAAATTCTGACTATGACACCAATGCCTCTCTCTAGCTAATGGTTTCGTCATAATATCTGCAACCATATCTTCGATTGGAAGATAAACCAACTTCACTAAGTTATTTGCGACTAGGTCCCTGACAAAATGAAATCTAATATCAATTGTTTTGATCTTTCATGATTCTTGTGGTTTTCTACTTGTGCAATAGCACTTTGATTATCGCAGATTATTGTTGTCGACTCCAGCTCAAAGCCCAGATCATTCAATAATACTCTTAACCACATAGCTTCAGCTCCAGCCTTGGACAATGCCATATACTCTGCTTCTGTAGAAGAAAGTGCTACTGAATATTGTTTCTTTGATGTCCAACTAATGGTTCCACCATCGAGTTGGAAGCAATATCCAGAAGTAGATCGTCTCGTGTCAAGGCAACCTCCTCAGTCCGCATCAGAATATCCAGTCAAACCGGATCGTTTATCAACCCTTGTTAACTCAAGGCCAAAATCGAGAGTTCCTTTCAGATATCTGAAAAGCCTCTTGACTGCCTTCCAGTGTATCAATCCAGGATTTGACATGAACTGAGCCACTGAACTAACAGCATAAGATAGATCGGGTCTAGTACAGACCATGGCCCACATCAAGCTCCCAACAGCAGTTTGATATGGTATATCTTTTATCTCTTCACTTTCTCCCACTGAAATGGGAGAGTCAAGCACACTTAACTCCAAACCGGGTTCCATAGGTGTATCAATAGGCTCAAAGTCAGCCATGTTGAACCTCACAAGTTTTTCAACCAAATATCGTGGTTGGGAGATTCTAATCCACCCTTCTTCACGATTTCTGTCCACTTGCATACCAAGACAATGATGGATCTCTTCTAAGTCCACCATATCGAACTCAGTTTTAAGTTTCTCCTTGACATTTGTAAGAAGATGCAAGGAATCACTCGCCAATATACAGTCGTTCGCATATAGTGCTAAATACAAAAATGCATTCTCCTGAGAGTATATGTAAACTTTTCTGATCTGCATTAGCTCTGTTAAAAGCAGTCTGCAGTAAGAACGAGTCAATTCTTTGATACCACTGTCCTGAGGATTGCTTCAGTCCATAAATGGACTTATTCAGTTTGCATACCATGTTTCTCTCAGAAGAGATATTCAACCCTTTAGAAAGAGCCATGTTTACTTCTTCATCTAATAGTCCGTTCAAAATTGCAGTTTTCACGCCCATTTGGTGTAGCTATAAATTATTTTGAGCTGCAAGAGCCATCAAAATCCTAATGGATGTCAACTTCACCCCAGGAGAAAATGTTTCTGAAAAGTCAACACCATAAACTTGAGAATATCCTTTCGCTACTAATCTGGCCTTGTATCGTTCAACAGAACCTTCAGGCTTGTATTTGATTTTATAAATCCATTTACAGCCAACGACGTTCTTGCCCAAAGGTAACTCTGTCAATGTCCAGGTGTGATTTTTCTCTAAAGAAGAAAATTCATCTTTCATAGCTTCTTTCCATTTGATAGAATCACCACTCTGTAAGGCGTCTTGATAAGTAGTAGGTTCTTTGTGAGTCTCACCATTTGAAAATAAAGCTCTATGCTTCTTCCTCTTTTCCAACAGTTGATCATATTTTTTGACACGTTTCCTTACTCTTTCCCCCCTTGGAAAGATAGGATCGATGATGAGGGAAGAGGGTGAAGCTGGCCCCGAAGCTGTATGGTCAGGAGGTTGGACAGCCGGGGCCTCAGATGTAGAGTCTTGAAGTCTGAGTTCACCCAGTAGTTGCTCGAGGTTGCGAACCGTATCAGAGGAGTAGAAAAGATAGGATTCTCCCGTAGCTTCCATGTGCGCCTCTGGTAAGTCTGGTCAAAACGGGCCGGATAAGTGGCAGGGAGGATGACTGACGAAGGGAGTGGAAGGTGCCTGTGGAACTCCCACTACAGGGGATGGTGTAACTGGACTGAAGGCTCCCACTGCTGGTGGCAGTCCTGGTGGTAGTATTGGCGGAAGGGGAAACCTGCGAACTGGATCAGTAGATGAAGCTAATGGTAAAGGGCGAAATAGAGTAAAACCTTCTTGTTCAGCGGGCGGAACAACTGATGCCTGCTGATGGGGAAGGGTAGATTCCCGAACCGCAAGAGGCTTAAATCTGACCGATCTGCTCTCAAGAATCTTATGAGAGTCTTTTCGCTGTAACCGATATCCTTTGGCTGGAGGAGAATAACCAAGGAAAACACATTCTACACTCTTGGGGTCAATCTTACCCCGATGGTCTTTTCAATATGGGCAAAGGCAGTACATCCAAAAACTTGTAAGTGGCTTAGATCAGGCTTCTGTCCATGCCAAAGTTCGTAAGGGGTTTTGTTATTGGGTAGAGCCTTAGATGGAGATCTGTTCTGCAAGTGAACAGCGGTATGGATGGCTTCGACCCAATAACCATGAGAAAGACCAGAATGTGTCAACATAGCTACAACTGAATCGATAAAAGTGCGATTCTTCCGTTTAACTACTCCGTTTTGTTCGGGAGTATCAGGAATGGAAAACTGACGTTAATACCATGAAGCATACAAAATTCAGTACAAGCTCGAGATTTGTATTCAAGAGCATTATCTGATCGCAAAACTTTGATGCGCTTGTTCAGGTAATTTTCAGTCATGAAATTGAATTCCTGAAACTTTGGCAAAGGCTTCAGACTTTTTTTCTATCAAATAGACATGCGTATATCGTGAAAGGTCATCAATAAATGTTATGAAATATTTACATCCAAAGAATGTTTGAGTTTTCAGAGGGCCACATATATCTGTGTGCACTAGACCAAGAAGGTCTATAGCACGAGTGGCTCCTTGGCTTTGGAATTTAGCTCTGGTAGTCTTCTCTAGAGCACATGAAGTGCAAAAAGAGACAGTTCGAAAAGAACAATTATCTAACCCTTGCACCATGTTTCAATTGTTGAATCCTTGGAATACTCATATGGCCGAGGTTTAGATGCCATTGATATTGATATGTGTTCAGCTCTTCAGCGAACAATTAACGTTGACAGAATTGGCGCGTGTATTCAAAGAAGAAGTTGTGTCTAGATTGAAAAGTTTGTTAGAACTGATACACCGAGCAATGAAATGACCCATCTTGTTTTCCAAGATGCATTGATCAGGTTGAACCAGTGGACTCCCCCTTGGATAACAAACTGAGTCATAGAAAATAAATTCTTTCTGAGAGCAAGAACATGGAGGACATCAGGGATGATCCTTTCCTGTTCATCATTCAAAGAGATGCGAACATTCCCTTTTCCTTGAATGGATTTTCTATCATCGCCGAGATATGGTAGTTGAGTATATGTCACAAAGTCATGTTTATTATATGCCATGTGTTGGGTAGCACCAGAATCCACATACTATGCAGGATCCGTCCCGATGGATGATAGCGTGGTGACATACAACCTTTGCTGTAGAATGTGCAGAAGAGATATCTTGTTTCTTCTTCCGACACTCTTGAACAAGATGGCCTCGCTTCTTACAATAGAAGCACTTCATCTTTTGCCTAGGAACAGATGGTTTAGAAGGAGGTTCTTGTCTTGAAGAAGAACCTGTCTTAGAGGAGTTTTGTGGATGCATCTTTGGCGTTGTGGTAGTCCACCCTTGTTTCTTTGTTGTGGAGAGTGTTGCCATACTGTTGGTCAACTCTTTTTCTTTGAGGTGAGATTCCTCAATAAGAAGAGTAGCCATAACAAATGATGTGGTTAATGTGTGCTGTGATAGCATAGAACGCACAAAGTATCTATACTCTATAGGAAGACTCCTGAGGAGAGAAAAAGTATCTATACTCTATAGGAAGACTCCTGAGGAGAGAAGTGTAAGCTTCTGCCTCTGGAATAGTCTGCCCTTTAGAAGCCAACTGATCGAGAAGTAGACAAAATTTGCTGATATGTTTCTGCATAGACTCTCCTCTTTTCAGTTTGAATGTATGCAATGCATCTCTTAAGTGCACTATGTCATGGGGTTCAAAAACTTTATTTAGTTCAGCCCAGGCCTCTGCTGCTGTTACATAACGAGCTATCAATGGTTGATATCTTGTCAACAAGATATTCAACATTGCCAAAGAAATGAGATTTTTGTTATCCCATTCCTTCTTACTCCCTGCTCCTGTCGCAGGTGTACTGGTTGTAGAACCCGGTGGAGTGGTTGGTCGGAGCTCTTTACCTTCAATTAAATCCATCAATCCTTCCAGTCGAAAGATACAACTTATTTCATTTTTCGAGGAATGGAAATGTTCCCCATTAAATCTGGGGAGATCGCTCCATGGAATTCGTATTAGAGCCCCTAGAAAAAACATCTTCGAAAAATTAATTGTTGAACTTCTCGACAAATTTTCTTATGTGATTTACTTTCTTTATTTCCCATAGAATCAATTAAAATTTTCACTAAACTCACCCAATCTTGGTCAGACTAAAAACTTCACACTTTCGCGCAGACCACTGACCCAATTCCTGAAATTTTGCAAAATTTAGAATTTCGCTGAAATTGCATGCAATTTCACCTGGCATGCCCATGCGCTCCTGTGTAGAGGTGGGGGTCTTAAGAAAGTCAGACGACGTCTCAGCCGATGTTGTTGGTGGAGGTAAAGGCACTTGGTCGTCATGGCAGAAATGCTTGGAAGAGGAGCATTCCGCATCATAGTCCGGGATTGCTACCTCGTCGCAGCTCTCCTGCTTTGGTTCACGATCTTTGGGATCTAAGAACTCCCTGCTATCCTCATTTTGCACAAAAGTCGCTTGCAGATCCCTGGTAGCCTCATCTACTTCTTCTTGAGAAGGAACTCCCTCGATTAAAGCAGAGCAGATATCCTCGTGACAGAAATCATACTCGTCTTGGATGTAGTTCGGACCTGGAGAAGGTTTAGAGAGCCTTGAATGTGCATCTTCACGAAACTTCTTCATTGGAAACTCTGCATGTGCAGCAAAGACCACTGCGGCCGTTGCTGCAGCACCAGCAGTGCTAGCAACTTTTTATGAGCTTCTTAACATCCTCTGAACGACGCACCGCACTCGCAGACTGACGCCCACAAAGAAACAACTCCCTCGGTCCACTCACAACCCCGCCAACGAAGGCGACAGGCAAGCCCCGCCAGCAATCCAGCCAGCCGGGGAGTAGATTCAGCGTCGGAAGAGATTGCACCCGTAGGAAACTGTGGGCGGATCTTGAAGCGACACACAGTTCTCTACGAGCGCTCTCGGGGGTTTGCTCTCTCCGCTCGATTGATTGTTGCCTCGCTCGTCGGACGAACGCTGCGCTCCCCCACCTCTACAGTGGAGCGCAACATTCAGGCTATGACGGTTCGGGGTGCAAGCAGCGTGGTGGCTCACTGCGTGGATCTACTCCAGCGCGATCCTGATATCCATGCTGCGGTTGTTTCTCATATACCAAATATGGTATATGAGAAAGAAGAGCAATGCAAGAAGGCTAGACACAGGAATTAAGTTCTGACAAAGGCTTCATCATTAGAGTTGTATTAACACAGGTCCCGGATGAGGGCTTAAACCCCCAATCCGAGTTCACAAGGGATGTGTCCTTACACAGGGACACAACCCCTACAGTCTCATCTCAGAGATGAGATGTTATAGTTAGGACTGAGATGTTCAGTGGGTGTGACCCACTCAGCCGGACTCTATATCCGGGTTTGAGCTCTCGATTTAAGATTAAGTGCTTAAACTTAGTCGAAACTTGTAACTCAAACTGTTGCAAAAAAAATACAAGCTTATGGAGATCAATATTTCCAACTCCTTAGCAAGAGTAGGATTCTTCAGTCATAAAAGTCAGTATTAAAGTTGAAGAACTGGATAAAATAGCTTTAGATTACTTTTTCAAAGGGATTTTAGATAGATATTTCACGAAGTGATCGTGGATATGTAAATTTGATGTGATACGCCGGGTATGGAGGCATTGTGCAGAATTTTCTATCCTGGTATTTGAAAGGATTTGAGGAGCAAGATCGTTGGTGAACCAAGATGCCCGCCTAAAGAATCGAAATTTGGAAGGCTGTACTTGGGAATCTAACGTACAGAAAGTCGTTGAGAGGATACATATAGATCATTGGAGTCACGAAGCTTTTTCGGGTTTCGAATATCATTTATGAACGCTAACATTCACTTGTGCTTCACTCTCCACGAGCCTCAGTAGAATATGGACCCCCAGTATAGATTTCTAATACCGCGCAACAAGCGCGGTTTGGAGCAGTACAGCTGAGAGAACCTTCCTCAGCACGAGGCCTTCCTTATTTCTCTGCCCCATATTTTTTCCAGTTTTCTAATGCAGCGAAACTAGGCTTGAGAAAATCACAAGTCTGTAGAAACTTGAAGTTTGATTTGTTTCCAACAAATTCGTTCAGGCCTTTTATATGTTCATAGAGCACATTAGAGCGAGCGCGTATTACGTCGGATGAAATCCATAATATTCATTCTTACATATTGATATGTATTGGACAGGTAAGCAGAATACTAGTTCAAATAGGTTGGGAACTAATTATTTGGCAACAGTTTCCTTACTAGTCTTCCATGCAGTTACCTGCACTCTTTCATGTCATTATTATATGTATGCATTCACTTTGCACATGTCGGTGTGCGTGATCAATGGCTGCTGGATGTGTTGATCTGTCTTAGTTTTCGGGAGAAATATTGAAACCAATAGTAGCTGGTTCAATTGCACGCTCTCTTGATGTTTATACTTGAGGTCATGCCCTGAGTAATGAGGGTGTCATTGGATCTTACCTATCTGAGTGTTAACTTTTCATTGAGATTGTTCTGTACGTCTTTGTGAGCATCATACGAAAGAGACTCCTCTCTGTTGATCTCCTGTTACATCTTATGAAAGCCCGAGCATTCTCCAGAATCGAGCAGGAATAATATTTTTTATTTTGAATTGCAGCGGAGCTCTGCTTGCCATTTGTACGAGTAGGTGGAATCTTCGTGGCTGCCAAGGGTCCCGGTCCTGAGGTTTGTACATCTACCGACATTTTCCTGTAGATGTTTGAAGAAAAATAAAAACGAACCGAACATCCCTTTTTTAACCCCAGTCGTCTAGATTGTCGTGTGTGTGGTCCGGACAGAATGCATCGTCGCTACCTCAGGTTTAGACCCGTGCTAGAGAGTGGCGGGTTAATCTCTTCTCGTGAATCTTGATTTTCAGGAAGAAGTGGAATCTGCCAAGAAGGCAATAGGCTTACTTGGAGCGTCTCTCATATCTATTTCAACTGGTAAAGTCCGCGTAAACCTTCAAAACCCTTTCAGGAAAGGTTCATAGAAATTTTGCTGAATATACTTCCTCAATTCTGAGGTTGAAAGTTGTTTAGTCATGTCTTTTCGCTTGAAAATATTTCCGTATTATGTTGTTGAGAAAGGGTCCTGGACTGTTTTTATGTAACTTGTCTAAAGCGAAGGACTTTTTCTCACAGGTTAAATCAAAGCTCCCGCACACTTACGTTCTTTGGTTGAGTGCTCAGCCTCGACTACCGCCTTCTTTCTGACAATCACTGTTTTCTCTATGTCCAGTTGATTCAAGAGGGCCATTAGGCCAACGGACAGCGGTTGTATGTCAAAAGCGTAAGTCGACACCTGCAAAGTACCCTCGAAGGCCTGGCACACCCAGTAAAACACCTTTGTAAATTATAGGGAACGGATTTGTTTCCTTTGATTAATCAAAAGAGTCATTATTTTGATTGCACAATGATCGATGTTTGCACGTCACCTTACCATAACTGGTTAACGTTCTCTCAACGCTCGAGTTTTACACACTCATCCTTTCGATAGTGTGTTAACTAGTTTACTACAAGCATGCATGTTTGATGAGCATGGCAGCAGCTCCACACATGAGTCTGTCTGACGGACGTATGTTAATTCTCTCAAAACACTCTATTTACGTTTTTCTTGGTCCAGCCTTTGCAGTACAAGACTAAGATTGTGCTGATCTGAACCGACTCCAAAGCTGATACTTAAATGTGCATATGCTATCAGTTCAACACGGAGTTTTATACTTCATCTCTCACAATAAGATATGTCAGTATCCATACGAACTTATGAGAAGCAGTTGTGCGAAGGAAATATCACCTTTTCGAAGTTTTGTAAAGCAAATGTATAGTTGCTGGATCCATTTGGCAATGCGCATCCAAGGTGTACATTGTCAGGATCTTACTTACTATTTTGTTCCATGGTTAATTCCTGCTCTAGTAACTACTAGCTCTACGCTTCGTTTGCATTGCGTTACCTGGATAAATCCATCGGCAGGTCGACGGCAATGACGTTGAGCTGTCATCGAGCCCCTTCTCCATGTGATATTGACTACTTTTTCTCTTTTGCATTTCATACAAACCCCAAGTATGTTTCCTGTTCACATTTAGTGTATAAGTTGTGTCGCTTCTTTGCAGTTCATTCCTTGCCGATTGTCACAGGCTGTCAATCTTTTTCTGTTTTGTTTCGATCACCTTATATCGTTCTAGCATATTGTCGTATGGTTTTCCTTGCTACTGCTCAATGGACATCTTGAGCTCATCATTCATTTACTCTCTCCTCTGGATTAGCTTACCTGGTGCTACATAACATAAAATAATCTTTGCATCTCTCCATGGTCTTGAGTTATTATTAACCCCCGCACAGTTTAGTGTAAAAACCTCTTCACACCTATACCAAATCAGCTGGGATCATGAGGAGGGATGACTTAGGCTAGATATTATTAATGGTCCTGGTTCCTTATCTCGCATCGGATTGAAGGAACTATCCCGCTCTATGATCTGTCGGTACATATGCACTCGTTTCCCTTTTAACTATGCTTCAATTTCTGCCTTAAACGTGCACTTCTCATGGCCCACTACTGCGTACTTTCCCTTTTTACTCAACTACCTACGGGCCTTTTGACATGGATACATTCTGAATTGCTCATACTTGTATCCATCGATATCTGCAGTCTGGTTCCTAAGCATGTTCAATGTCCTAACACTTGTACCTGCAGCTCATTGTTCGCATTGCTGCTCCCTCCTTTCCTGTTCCTTTGCCTCACCTGCAGACTTCTGTTCTGGATAATTCATAATTACTTGCCTTCAGTTGAATGCTGTGCCATGTTTCGGGCCGCTTCTTTTCGTTTTACAGCTCCGGTGCAGCGGATTATGCGTCCGAAAGAGTGTCTTTAGTTGGGTCTCCCGGGTCTGTTCGGTTGGTCCCCCTCTAGTCGATCACTTTTAATTAACACTTTTTTGTCTCGACGCCGCGACTCCCACTGTTGGAGACCTAGTTTAATCTGCGGTGAACCTTGTAGATCTCAGTCGTTTGAAGAGCCGTCTATAATCGATCGCTCGAGACCTGCTCTCACTCTCTACGACACACTATTCTGAGAATGTGAAACGATGACCTGCGTCTGTTGACCACTTAGTTGTGTAGTTCCAGTGCCACATTCCGCACTGTGACAGAATGTTTTCATATATCTTCCATACCTCGATGAACATCAAACCCACAATGCACGGATTTATCCTGTAATTGGATTCGAGTACACCTTTTTCCTCCAGGCTTCTGAGCTGCTGAATGCAGGAAAAAACGAGTATCTCACTGTCAAAGTATTCAACAATCTTTTACAGAAAAAGGGGTTTGTCAAAGCCAGCTAGTATACGACTACCAGGAGAATGCAAGTTGGCCCCACCCTGAAATCCAAGGTTGCAATACACTGACATCTCCCAATACACCAAACTCCCAGGAACTGAGTGGCGAGTATTGGAAAGGAACTGTTTTCGCTATCTCCCCAGATCAAATTGATATGCTTCAGAGAACTATAGTTGTGCTATACCGACCTTAGCTCAGTTGGTAGAGCGGGAGACTGTAGTGTGAAAACAGAAATCTCTAGGTCGCTGGTTCGAATCCGGCAGGTCGGAAACCACTTATTGTCATTTTGATGAAGTATAGACAGCTGCTCTGAAAGTCTTTATTTACTGAAAAATATCACGTCTTTGACATGGTATGATGATTCATGGTTCGAATGCTTTGATCATTGGCATGTTTCGCACAATATCGGGTTGTAATGAATCTATAGGTATACATTGGAATAATACTTAAACTCCACCAGAAAATATTATTCATACATTACTTTCGTTATCCTCATGAACTTAATTCTATTGTATGTATTCTTTTATAAAACAATCAAAATTTGTGATTTATTTTCTCTTGCACATCCAGATATTTAGTGTCATTTAAAAAAAATAAAAATTTACATCATTCGTGAGGCTAAGTCTCAATTTTAGAGTTCATAGCTTTTAGTCTCCAATTAGAGTTTTAAATCTAATTGGATCTTTATCAAAAAACAACAGCATTAAAGATAGCACCAATCTATAAATTTCGTCAAAAATAGTTGGTAATTAATATTTTGTGTTATTTTCAAAAAAAAATAGATATATTTTTCACATAAAAACTTAAATCTTAATATTTATCTTTTTATTGATCCCAAAATTCCATTTTAGAAACGATCTCATACAATTATGAATATGAAACTAGTTTTCACATCATATATTTTATATAATAACATCATTCATGAAAATTTAGAATTTATTTGAATATAATATAGAATAGTTTGAAATCTTCTTATACAAAATATTACATTATCAATTTTCCTATGAATTTTCACATGTGAATTTTTTTTTTTTTGTTATTTCTCACATGATTATATTACTATTATAAATTCAACACAATAAATGAACTAGAGAGCATATTATAAGACTTCAATTATTTTTAGATACAGTATAGCAATATTATGCATAAATCTAGAGTTAAGAGATCCAACATAATTTCAAGATTAAATATAATTCTAATTTTTTATTTCAAACCTTATCATGATAATCAAAAGATAATAAATTTAAAAATTTTATTATATACTTGTATTAATTATAAAAAAATTATTCTCATATTGATATTTTGATTTTGCAACATAATAGGTAATGCCACATAAACCTAATGGATAATATTCATTTATTTATTTATTTCATACATAATCAAAAAAAAATTTTTAAGTAATGTTTTTTAAGTAAGAATCTTCAGATTTGAGTTAAATGTGATACAAAGAAATAATTTTATATTGATTTTTTTTATTTAATTTAATAATATTAACCAACCCCAGTCAACAAGATTGTGAGCCAGACCCTTATGTCTAATTTCATATTGATTTTAATTTTTTTAATTTACAAAGAGAGCCATTTCTATGGCTATTACCTCAAAAGAATTCTCGTGGAATAGAACCAAGAAGAGGAAAGAATAAAATGGAAGTCAGGTACGCTAAAATTAGAGCTCTCCAACAAGCGACCCTCCCACTTGGTTCACTTGTTAACCCCCTATTCTTCCCTACACAGTAATTGCTCTGTTACGCGCTTATTTTTTCCTGCGATACCAGTTGTTCCTTGGAAAACCTCCACCAACATCCCCATTTAAAATTTCAAACCTATAGGGAACTGTCGTACGTATTCAAAAAAATTTAATGCATCAAACTGAGACTTTTGAAAACCAAGTGTATAAAAGTGATTTTTTGGGTTGTTCGTTAGGTTAGTACAATACTCTCAAAAATCTTTATCGTACTGGGCAAACCAGTTCGAATTCGAAGTTACAAGATTTCAAAAATCTAACTTGCGCTCTTCTTGTCCTTGCACATCCTTATCTACATATTTTCTAAAAACAAACAAGGATATGTATAAAATTCCAACAATTTTATATTCTTAGCTATACAAAGAGAGATTACGTTCTAGAGGTCGGCCTAAGAGAAGCATCTAGTAGCTCGAAATCTCTGAGGAAAAAGAATACACATCCTTTATGGGCTATTTCCTAGTAATTCCATCCGTGACACGCGCTCCTGAAAAAACTTTTGATAAGCCATCGCAAATGTATCAAGCGATACATCTACCATCCGGCCAATATCAAGATCCGATACGTTCGCTATGCTGACGATTTTTTGGTAGGTATCGAGGGCCCAAAGGACCTGAGTAAGACCATTAGAGGGGAAATCAATTTATAACTATGTTTTAAAATTTAAATCCGTTTTGAAAAAAAAATAGGTGAAAAAATTCGAATATTCTCTTTAAGTTAAGAAATAAATGTTATAATATTTGAAAAATATTCCGAATTTTAGAAAATAATATCAAAAATATATATATAGTATGGTGAGATATATACAATTCAAATTTTGGTTATAATTATTGTATATAAAACAACTCCTAACCTAAGGTTGATCATAGAGTTCTCGTTTTAAATATTTTGGCTTGGTGAGTTTGTGTGTTCAATTCATGTATGTACTATACTGCTTTAATTGAACACGAATTTGATTTTGTTATTAAATATTCATTCTGTACACTTCAGATTCAGAGTGTCTGAGTGTAAGTCTTGGTCTTTTAATACAAATGAAATCTAGACTCATTTGCAATTCTCAAAAGTATGTATGAAATCTAATTAGGACTCAAGTTTCCTAAAAGTGGCAATTGCAACCTAGATGTTTGTCTCATGCTATCTGGATGTTGCACTGATTCATAATATATCTCACTTAAGTGATATTATTCTATCCTAAAATCTATGCGTACATTTGATAAATACTTTTTCATTTGTTCATTGACACATCTGCCTTCTTTATATGTTCTTTTTATATTTTGATTATCCTTTCATCTCTTTCATTAAGGAAATTAGAACTTTTTTGAAGACATTTTCTGATCATTTTTATGCTAGATTAGAAAATTGAGCATGATCATTCATTCATATGTATATGATATTATACATTTCTTATTGATAGAAAGTGAGGCATTTTTTAACATACTTGTCTAGATGAACACTCTTTAACCTTTCTTATCTTCTCACTTTGTGATCACATGTAGACTTATTATTCAGATGTATGCAACACACGACGTACATGTAATCTCAAATTCTTCTATAGATCTTTTAGCCTTTTATCTACGATGATCCATTTCATTAGAGTCGAAGCTTATCGTCTACATTGATGTACTAGGAGTTCTAAGAAAAACATTTACCTCTA